AAGCCAACATTATCTTTTACAACAGTCCTAAGTCTAAAATTTAAGACAGTATCACATTTCAGTTAACTAAGTATCCCAGAGAACTTTTGTCAAAGGAGAATTAAGGTTGCATGAGGGCAGCAACTGCAGGATCAAATGGGCAGACCTCCAAAACCCTGAAATTAAATTTAGATAATTTAACTCTCTGCAAAACAGAAAATTTAGATACAGTTTAACTATTTTCTATTAAACTGTTTTCTTCCATACACTGAAATATAAACTAAAATAGTTTTGAAATACTGCAGGCCTGCAGGCCTGTTGAAAAGCTCTTAGATTAAGCACAAATGGAATCAAGTTGGATTAATCAAATTCAATGCCATTTCACCTCAGTTTTTACTGCATAAAGTGGAATGAGGCAGCCAAAATAAGTTATCAAAGCACTAAATATCCTAGCATTGACTGCACATACAAGCAATTGAATTCATTTTTACACAGTGAGACAAGAATCTAACAAACCAAAATGATTACACTGATTTAATCATTACCATTTAGTGCCAGTTTAGCAAATTGCAACAGTTTTTCATGGTAATTTTGACCAATGAATTGTCTCATGTTGAGTGAAAAACACAGAATTCTTCAAGAGCAGCACCCAGTTCCAGAGAGCAATATTCGTTTACTCTCAGGGTGTAGTTCTCTTTGAAATGTGAGCTTTTCTTAAAGTAAATAAAGTACCATCCCATTGGACTGGACATAATGTGTTTAAAATGTGTTTAAAAAAAAAAGGGAAATGCTTGCAAAAAACTCCTCTGCTATATTAGAACTAAAACAGCTGCCTATTTCCTCCTAATATGCAGCTAATATATATCACTGTAACAATTACATTAACTGCCTATTCGGTAGCCAGCTTAGTTAAAAAAATTGGATTAAATCTATTCTATTCATAGATGAAACCATATTGACTTACATGTCTTAACATATAAAACATTTGTAGTCCTTTCATACTAACAGTTGCAGGATCATGAGTTTTTCTTCACAGCATGTCTGTAAAGGTCTGAGACTGAAAGACTGTGTTTCCATGGGAGGATTAAATTTACTGAACCTGACAGCAACAAAGGCCCTGTAAATCAAAATTTGACCAAATACTGTTCTAATGAAATGCCAACTTCCACAGCAATCTTCTGTCAAATGAGTGCTGCTCATAAGACTTCACCAAGAATACTCCAGAGTCAAACAAGAACATTAAAATGTCCTGCAGGACCATGGTCATAGTCCTGCAAATGCTTAAGTTTTTCCCAGTCTAGAATATGCACTCCCAAATGTGCTTTTTATGTCCCCCAGGATTTACACTGGGTAGGGACTAAAGTTAAAGATTAATGCCCTTTGACATATTCTTCCCAAAATAAGATTGGTTTCCTATCTCTACACACCAACAGGGTGAGGGGGAAAGCAGCAGTGTATATAAAAAACATCTATAAACATCAACAGCTAGAAGTCAAACATATTTCAGATATGACTCTGTCCTTGCACTTGGTAGCAGGCACTCCACTTGCAAATTAAATCAGAGCTGCTTAAAAGCTGGTAAAAGCCTGGTATTTTCTGTCCCACTTGAATCACTCTGGACAGGAAGCAAAAAATCAGACTGTTGGTATGTAGTAAAATCACATAAACAGAAGTGGCAGGATAATGAGAAAATAAATATCCCACTAAAAACCTGTCATAATTATGAAGCTGGCACTGGTTAAGCATATTTGGGAACATTAAAAATCCCAATTCTAGTACATAAAGCATAAATATGAATTCATTCCTTTAATGTCTGTTGGCCAATTCCTGTGTTTGGATAACTGAAGGACTAAAAAACAAAATCAAGCAATAAAGAAAAAAAACCTATAACTTCTATTTACTAGGTAGAAGTGAACTCCATTAGAGCACACAGAAGAAAAGTTTACAAGGAGGGGAATAAACAGACACTTAAGCATAAAGAAGGGAAGGCATAAACCAGCTCTGGAGTCTGAAAACTGCAGGAACAGAGGCAACACAGAAAGGCAAAACTGGCAGGAAAGCAAAGAGAGACAAGGAACTGGAAAGAGAAAATGGATACTTAAGAAGTAGCAGAATGTGAAACAAACCAGAGAAATGACAGCATATTCACTTTTTTCAGGGCAAGTAAAATCATATTTTAAGTATTATGAAGTTCCAAAAGCTACTGAGACAGGCTCTGCCACTTGTTTTAACTCAGGGTGGTTAAAAAGAAGGACAAACCTTGAAAAAAAAGGAGGAAACTTAAAGGAAATGGAATGATTTCACATATTTCTGATGCTGAAATAAATGCATCTGCAAACTTGTTACTTTGAAAGTTAAGATTCTGTATGTGCAGTGCCTTGTCCTTTTTCAGCCTACAGCTGTCCTGATTTCAGATTTGGTTTCTGAAGGTGACAAACTCCTGCAAGGATTTTTCACACTTTAAAATACCATTTGGATTTCAGTGCACAGTTAGGAAACCAGGTCACTGGGAGATAAGATGCCTGTTTGTCACAGTTTGGTTTGATGTATTACATGACCCAAATTTGCTTAAAGGTTTTGGCACCTTAAAAATAAATCAATACTAGAAATCAAGTTCCTCTAGTCTAGCCAAGTGAGGTAATGTTGGCAACAGGTAAAGTATATCTAAACATACTTAACTTTACATAACTTTATCACAGTCTTCTCCTTTTCCTATATATAACTGATGAGCAGTGAAATTGGAAAAATACAGTTTCCTTTCAAAATCTTGTAATTAGATAATCTCAACAGGCAAAATTTTGATGTGCAATTCTCTTTGTGAAAAATAACCAAACCAACAAAAACCACCAACAACCAAAAAAACCCCAAACCAAACTAAAACAAAATCAAATACCTTCCAAAACAGTACTACTGTTTTTCAGTATACGACTTGTAAGAACAATAAATCACATTTTTATTGTATGTATGTGACAGTGAGCAGTGCCTGTTCAAAGTAATCAAGACAGGAATGATTTTTCAGATGGAAAACAAGGTAATCTTCAATATCAGAATTAAAAGTAGGTTCATTCACAGAATTAGAATTGTTTTTACAGCAACAGGCTAATCCTTTGAAAAAGCTTGTAAAATGTGGATCCTGAAACAGAAGCACAGCTGCTCAGAACAGATCAATGTGCTCCACCCAGTTCAAACTTCATTCAGGTAACTCCTGTCTCTAATTAAAAAGTCTCCCCTAAAATTACATCAGATGTAATTCCAGGAAAACATGATTTCCCAGATTTTCAGATACTTACAAAGGGCACTAGCTTTTACAAAACTTCTTCCCTGGCTACATTTATGACAGTTGTGCTTACCTTTAAAAATAACAGAAACGATAGGATCTGGTTTCCCAAACTTGGTTTTAGGGATATTGGTAGCAGATTCCACAATCACTCGAAGCATTGTTTCCCTCTTCCCTAAATGCTGATTACTACCGAAGGAATTAAATCTTCAGTTTCACAGTCCTTAACTTCTGGACTGAAATGCTAGCAGGAAGAGGAGGCAGGGAATTACTGGTTTACAGCAAAGGAGGTCTATGGGTGGATCTATGACGGACTAGCTGCTCAAAGCTCTGGGAAAAAACCAGTGCTGTAAATTGACACCAGGTTCTGTCGTGCTGCACAGAAAGAGCTCTCGCTAGTGAAATCCCGTAACGGGATCCTGTTTAATCCTGCAAAAACTTTCTTGTTGCTGCTTTTATTCTTAAACTGCGTGATAAATCTCCCGTCAGAAACCAAGGCTAGAATAACTGTTAAACAGCATGAACATTAAGCACGACTCTAGAACTCGATGTAAACCGCATCTGCCTCTCCGTATACCAAGGTATGAAATTCCACAATGGCTTATATTTTCCCCCCAAATTTTTAGAACTTCATTCTTCGTAAATGCTTTTGGCTTGTCTCCGCGCCAGCCTAGTCAGAAACTGGCGATGATCCCAAAAAAAGTGCGAGTCCTCCCCCTCCTGTTGTATTCTGGAACAACACTGCGGCTTTCTCATGGAACATCCTGGATATAGTAGATTTATAGCAGAATTATTGAAATACGTATCCGTAACTAAAAATTTAAAAGTATTAAGGAAATGCGTTTAAAAAAGAAATTAAAAGTGACAAGACTCTCTGTACAGTTTGGAGGCATATGAATGTTTTGTCTTAAACACGTGCGCAAACACTGCGGTAACATGACCTAGGTAACATTTACATGACAAGCACAGGAACTTTGAGCTCCCCCGTGCTCAGCCTTAGTTTTTCTCAGCTGTGAACAGAGGTAAAAACCCGAGAGGTTCCCTCTGCCACTGCCACGCGTGTCCCCGTGTTCCCAAGGAGAGAGGAGAGGGGAAGTCAGCAAGAGGCAGCAAAAGGAGTCACAAGTGAGCGCGGTTCAGCCTAGTTTTTACACGGTCACACGAGACCTAGCTTACTTTGTAATTTCTAAAACTATTAGATTTGGGGTAGACGGAGAGGATTTCTGGAGAAGAAAAACCCCACATGTTCAGGGAGGAACGAGGACACAGACACGTAAGAGACACCACTGAGCGGGCCCTGCGGGCTCCACCCGAGCCCCACGGCGCCCCCCTGCACCCTCCGGCAGCCCGCGGCTGCTGGCCCAGCACCGCCGCGCCTGGGGGCCCCGGGTAGGGACGGCACCGCCTGGGCGGTGACACGAGGAGGCGGCGACACGAGGGGACACCGCCCGTGCCGCCACCGCCCGCGGGCACCATCCGGAAACCCCGGAAGTGACGGCCCGGAGCCGCGGGATTCAAACTCCCGGAAGCGGCACGGGCCGGGGCCGGACGGAGCTGCCGCCGAGCCGTGCCCCCGCACCGGGCCGTGCCCCCGCACCGTGACTCGCGGCCCCTCTGAGCCCCGCGGGAGCCGGGAAGGCCCGCGCCGCCTGAGCTCGCCTCCAGCTGTCGGGAGCCTTGTCCTACCCGCTAGAAGGGATCGCTGTTCCGCAGCGCCTCGTTCGGTTTGTACAGGCGCCTAGAGATGGACGCCAAGACCGCCATAGAGCGAATTATTGCCAAGAGGGGCCTGAAGCTGGGCGGCTCCAGAGCTGACGGTGGGCTCGAGAAGGGGAAGCGGGAGGGCGCTGCCCTGCGGAACTCCATGGAGGCGGTGGCCACAGGCAAAGGCAGAATGGCGGAGCCGGAGAGGAGCGAGCTCCTGCAGGTGAGCCGGGCTCTCCCCGAGCCAGCGCGGGCCGTGTCCCACGGGTACGGCACTCGGCAGCAGGAGCCCCACCTTTCCTCTCAAAACTTCTGATGTCACAACTGGTTTAGTAGAGTCAGTTCAGACAAACTTTTTGTTTCGCACTTTCTTTCTCAGATATTTTTCAATGACAGCTGAGCTAATAAAATCACACTCATCTGACAAGGCTGGTAAATGCAAAGATTTGAGGCCAGAGGTGCCAGTTAGTCCATTAATACCTGTCCTCGTGTGTCCAATAGAACACGTCTCAGAGAAGTCTTTTAAGCACTTCCTGCAAAGAGCTTAACGTTTGAAAACATTTGATTAAGAACATGCCAAAAAGTGCAGAGTGTTTGAACTGAATTGCCAAGCTCCCACTCAGCTATAGGTAAATTGGGTCGTTACATTATTCTTCCATTGCAGCTAAAGAGCAGAAACTAAGACACTGCAAGGTGCATCTGTATGTCTATATGACTGTTCCACTTGAGGTAAACCTGTGGTTGCAGAGAGAGAAGTTCAAGACTTATCAGGTGACCTAGTCACAGCCTGTCAGGATTCCCAGAAGGACAGGGAAACTTTAGATGGACTCTAGAAAAGGATACAACTCATATGGACTAGGCATACTAATATTTCTAGGCCACTCTTTTTAACGAAAGGGCTTGTCATGTGTCTGTGCCACAACGTCAGTTGAGAAGTCCTAAGTCAAGGATGAGCTATGGCTGGGCAGCTCATGCACAGTTCTGGCTAGATTCCTTAGTGTATTTTTGGTGTCTGTTGGCTCAGTGTTGGTTACTTAATACTGGTTTCCTATAAACTAGGAAAAACAGGTGCAAAATCACCATCGTGTTAGATACACCGGATACTCTTTGGTGTCATTATTTTAATTTTAGTGAGCAGTGGTGTTCAACCACTCCCTAGTTGAGGCTCTCTCAAAATCACTTGCTTTCAGTTTTTCTTTCTAATGACTTTCTGTCAACATGCAGGATTTCAACATCAGCCTTTCTCAGCAGAATTAAATGCTATCACATCTGAAGCTCATGCAGAGCCCCATGGCATCTTAAATGCAGTAATAATTGTGTGTAATGAATACCTGTGCTGGAGGCCTACTGGAAAAAGAGTGCATGTTGAAAATACCTACTAAAACACAAACTACAGGGCCAGATAACATGGAAAACAGGATCCTTCTCCCGAATGCTTTATTATAACTCTTCTGTAACTCACTGTCATGTAGTTTGCAAGAAGGCTCTGCTGCTTCCCAAAAGCAACCAAATATGCTAAGAAATATACTAAGAAAGGTAGCACCAACCTTTTTGCTGGAAGTGTTTTGGAGTTCTTGAACTGCTTTTGTTTTAGGGTCATATACTGTAGTGATCTTTATTCAAAACTGAGTACATACCAAGCCTGTGAAACTTGGTTCTTTGCATTCTCTCCTTGTTTTGTCTATTTCAGACTGGTTTTACTATCACTTGATATATTTCAGATGATCACTACAGTATTGTCTTCTTTGAGTTAAAAGTAATTTTCTCAGCTAATTAAAGGCTAAGAGAGAGCTTTGAAAGTGAGATATTCTTATCATAGAATCATAAGGTCATAGAATGGGATGGATGGGTAGGAAGAGACCTTAAAGATCGCCTAGTTCTCACACCTTCCACTAGACCCTGCTGCTCAGATAATCTCAAAGTACTTGCTAATGCATTTGATGCATAGACTAACACTTACTCCTTTTTATTCTGTTTCATTTAGAAAATACTTTTGCTTGAGAAAGAAAAAGAAAAATACAACCATCTTCTTGGAGAGAAGGACAGAGAAATCCAAAACCTGAAAGACAATCTTAGGTCCAAAACCAAGACTAGTGAAGTGTCTTTACTACAAAATCAACTAGAAGAAAAAACAAAGGAAGCAGAAAGAAGAGAACAGTTACTTTGTTCTCTATCAGAAGAAATTAATAGGTTAAAGTGTAATTTATCTGCAGTCATGGCAAAATGCTCTGATCTTGAGAACGAAGCCAGTAGTACTTCTCAGGCATCCCAGGTAAGCACTGAAGAAATATTGCAATTGCAAATTGGGTTTTGTGCCCACTAAGCACCAATACCTGCTATAAAATAGGATGTTTTTTAATTTTCTTACAAGCTGTGTTGCATGCTGAAATATTCTTGTATGAAGAGAGATGGTACCCAGATGGAACTCCAAATGAGGAACAGTCAGAGAGCACACTTCAGGCAGCACAGCTGGGGAGGGAGTTCTCTCCTGCTGTGTTCAAGGTCACACACAGGTAGTGTGACCTGTGATACTGCTGGGATGATCCACTGCTGCTTAGGCAGGCACTGTGCTCTTGTCAGATTTGTGTGCTCAGTGATTAGACAGAGTGAGAAGGCAGCAGTGATAAGAAATATGGGGCACTAATAAAGAACAAACTAAGCTCCTCACCTAATTGAGCTTCAGTCATGAGAATATCTTTCTTCTCTCTGCTCTTATGAATCCTCATTTGTGTCTCAGTTGTTAAAACTAATTGTCTTTACTTTCTGTGGCATCACATGGTAAATTCTTCAATGTGGCACACGGTAGGACAGGAATGTTGAGTTTCTCCTCTCGTGTGAAGTGGTCAGTAGGTATGGTGCCAGCCCTTGGCAGGGTTTACAAGTCCATTTAGGATTCTACAGTTGTTTTTCCACTCCTGCCCCACTCTAAGGTTCTTTGGAAAATGCAGTAGTAACTCTATGAAGGGCACAGGGAAGTTGTTTAGTACAGGTGCCTAAAAATAGGCGGCTCTAAGTCTTTCTTTTCCAGCTTTTGACCTGCAGATGGTGCTGGTTCCCTCCACTCCACACGGGAGTTGAGCAATTTCTAGAAATTCTGCTGTAGCCAAATACATAACAGAATATCTTCATCTACTACTTTTGAATGGTAACACATATATATATAGTACTTCCAATAATGCAGTTTATTGAGAAATATCACTTTAAATGCAATGCATTTATTTTAAATTTTAAGACATTTTGAACTTCATTAGAGGTGTTAAAATGTGTATTAAGTCAACAGGTTTTCATAATATTTTTGTCAATAAACCACCAAAATATGTATTACTTTAAAACCATAGTTTTCTTTTAAAATTTTAACTGATTTATATACAGAGGACAGTGATGTTTACTGGATGTCTTGGAGAACTTGAAAACAAGTCTAGCAATGCTGCTTGAAACTGCTAGGTGGCATACTAGCTCTGAAATGGAAACAACAGTTTTATGGCAGAATTTTGAGCAAGTTTTTACTGACGCAGGACTCTGATGTTCATAGAAACAAGTTCAGTGTCTCTAAGTCCTATTTTTATTAGGAAGTGTTTAAGTTTAATAATAACATTCAAAGTTCTGTATTTTTCAGCTATAATTTCTGTTTTAAATCATGTTCCAAGATCCAAAGAAAAATGTTGGAAAAAATGTAGTTTGGAGTTGGGTAGTAATGTACATTTTTTTTTCCTCACTAAAGTTCCCTCTGACATATACCTACACAATTTCACAACCACTTTGTATCCTGCAGAAAAGTTACATGTCAGAGTGGGAGAAACATGACTGTAACTGCTCTCCAGTTTTAGATGGATCTCAAGAAGTCTCCTACTCATACATAAGTCATACTCACTGTACTGGGATCAGGCTCAGAAAATCAGGCTCTTTGTCCTTGTGCCTGCAGACAGGCCTGCAGGATTTCCCAGATGTTCACAGTCTTCCTGTTATCCCAGGGAAGCATCAAGGTCTCTGGCTTTCCCCAACTCCTCCTGTATGTCTGGGTCATTATCAAATGTATGGGGATACAAAAATAGAAAAAAACATTTACTTCTTCTTGTGTACTTAAATAATACCCTTAAATATCTTCATTTTTCAAAACCTCTTTGCAGAACACCCTTCAGGACTTCCAAGACAGCAGTTCAGCAGAAAATACATTATGGTTTCTGTAGGAAATGTTTTAATGTAACTATAAATTGCAGACTTATGGAATAAATTCCATGTAAATCTTTATCCCATATTTTGTAGAAGAGTCTATTTTAAATATCTGAAATGGCTTTCTACATAACTTGGATCCTTCAAAAAAAACCAGCAACCAACTATAAAGATCTTTAAACACAAAAGGCACATCTGTTTTAATTTTTAAATGCATCTGATTTAATTTAAAAAATATTCTTATGCTGTTTATGCGAGATTAATAGCTGTACAGGAGTAGCTTTGCTGTTTCAGCCATCTGTTTTAAACAATACTAACAAGTTGTTCTTTGTCCGCAGGAGGCTGCAACAAACAGCACTGAAATGGAAAGACAATTGAAAGATGTAAGTTTCCTGTAAATTTCAACCATCTGTATGGAGATGCAGAAGAATGTAAATTATCATCATGTACATTTTTGGGTAGTATGGGACCTCAGAGGGTATGTTTCTCTCTAAAATATAACCCCTAAAATGATTTTGTGAGAAGGCAATAATTTAAATTTAAAAACCAAAAAACTTGCAAAAGAAAAAATGAAGATTTCTATCATCTTTGAAAGACCTTGCTTAGAACATCAGAACAAAGTGGTTGCTGACAGCTCAGAAGCCTCTAGGAACCAGACACTGCTTGGGATAGCATGTGGTTGGATTAGAAACCTCCTGAGGTCCCTTCCAAACTGAATAAGTCAATGAGCCAAGCAGCTAAAAAATCCATGTCCTTGTTCTTACAAATTAAATTGCAATGATACAGTTTTATTTTATTCCATTTTCAAGGTCTGTTATTTTATATTTTATTTTATATTTGAGATTGAAAAGTTAATTCTTCATAATCTAGGCATGACTCATGAAAGCCTTTGTTCTTTAAGTAATTTTCCCATTGCTGCAATTTTAACTTATGCTCAGCATCCTGAATTAACTTTCCAAATGAAGATGGATTTATTTATTTTTTGTATAGATGACTACAATTTGCAGCAGACTTATCTAGCTTATCTTTAATAACTTCTAATATTTTGAAGACATAAAACAAATACTTTTAAAAGCTGATTAATTACCAGAGACTTTTTTGTTGTTCTTATATTTCTTTTTATGAAGGCTCTTGAGAAAAATCAGCAGTGGCTACTGTATGACCAGCAACGGGAAGCATATGTCAGGGGCCTGCTTGGAAGGATCTTTGAACTTGAACAGAAGGCAGAAATAGTTAGCCAGCAAGAATCTAAAACAAATTCAGAAGGTATCAACTTCATTTTTACTCCCACAAGTGACCCAAACCATAATTATCTATGGAAATAAATTTTCTGAAAACAAATTCTAGCACACTTAAAATCAAGACTTTGTTCTCAACGCTTTGGCTGCTTAATGGTAAAACTTGGTTAAATAATATTCCTCTGCTTCCTGTTATCTATCTATGTTACTTGACCAAGAGTACTTCCTGTTCTTATCCACTTCAAAGATGGTTTTAACAGCCTTGACACTCTATTATCAACCTCTCTATTTGTGGAAAGTGTTGAGGCAAATAGATGTACATCTCCCATCCTTCAAAGTACACTTTCAATAGACATAATGGAAGCATTAAGGGTTTATTAGCTAGGTGTGGATCAGATTTTTTTAAATTTACTTTTTTCAAAATAAATATTATAAAAATGACTCAAGATTGCCATGTTCTTTACTCAGCTGAACAGTTGTTACAGGGCAAGAAAACCTGTGACAGGTTTTGGCACCTCTCCAAAGCAGAGTTTCACAATAAAGACCTGGCCACCTCCAGCTCACTTCCTTGCTGTGCAGTTCCTCAATAAGGCACACCCTCTCAGAATTAATAAAATTAAAAACATATTAAGCAGAAGAACAGAAGGCATTGACTTGCTTTTCTTGTTACCAAATTATTGATTTCATACATTCTGTAACTGACCTGCAAGGTAAATTCACTAAACAGAACAAACATTGTGTGGAGTAAGAGCATACCCACAGACTTACCATTAGTAATTCATGGGCAGTGGCTTGGTTTCTGTATTGCTGCTTGACTCTTTCTGGGAAACACTGAAATATCATCACAAACTTGTTTTGGTGCTGTTCAGAAATCTATAAACAGTATTTTTAGAGGGAGGCAGACTCAGCTCACCAGAAAATGTTCCACAGAGTTACTGCAGTCAAAGCTTTGCCACAAGAGCAACCAGAAGACTTAAAGTCAGGGTATAAGAAAGTTCTCTTCAAGCAGCTAGGCAGTAGCAGAAATCCAAGTCTCTAAGAACCTAGCTATACAAGTTGGAAGTATATATATGAAAACTTTTTCTGTGGAAAAACTTGGCCTTTCTCTGAGGGTGTCACTGCCCTATAAAGGAGTTTTGCTAATGAGAAGATAGGGCTTAGTTCATAGTTGAGGGAAGGGAGAACATTCAAGCAGGAAACTCTCCCTAGTAAATTACACTTTGAATAATTAGGGTAAGTCTTCAATAGGAAAATTATCAAAGTCACAAAACTTACAGTGCCAAAAATCAGCAAAGCCCATGAAATTCTGCTTTCCTCATTCTGCTTCTACATATATTTTGTATTGCTCCTGAATTTTTGCAGTCTGCCTCTTAATTTTTTCCTACTTAATAAACTTTTCTTGGGTTTTCAAGCAGAAATTTTCTAACCCTGGTTTAAGTAATAGTTGCTACCCAGGAAGCAAGCATTAATTAATCAAAAGAACTGTCCTACTCCTTTCTATTGACTCTTTAGAAGTAAATTATGGCATACTAAAAGATGGTCTGCAAAAGACAGTGGAAGGTCTGGCTTTGGTCAAAAAGGTTGAAGTAGAATCTATCCCATCCCCAAGGGTATCTCTGGGGAGGGAGTAATGCCAGCAGCTTGGCTAAAGAGCCTAAAAATAGAAGTAGGAATCCAGTGTCTTTGGGTCAGATTCCCATGTATCAGTATAATGCATGAGGCCTTAGAAGAACTGCGTTTTTTACAATATACAGTAAGTGTATTGGTAAGGAGACAATGTATTATAAATACTGAAAGCTGTTTCAACCAAAGTTTGGTTCTAATCTGAGCTGTGCAATAGCCTACTATGTCAATTTCTATTAATAAGCTTTAAAATGCTGATAATAATGTTAATTATTATTAAGAGAAAGCACAAATTATTATTAAGAGAAAGCACAAATAATGTTAATAAGCCTTAAAATCAGAGATTTAGTGCTCTGATTTTTAAGTGGGTTTTTTTTCACATTACTAACTCAATTATTTCTAACTCATTAAGGTCATCTACAAGAGGAAAAACAAGAATTCTGTGACCAGCTGTTCCTAACTGCTAAGAGAGATCCTGAGACTGAAAGACGCACCATAACCCAGCTGAGATCTGAACTTAATGAACTTAAAAAGACATATCAAGAAACACAAGGGGAAATGATGAGTTTAAATGCCTTACTGCAGTCACAACAGCTTGCTGAAATGAAGACTCAAGAAAATGAAAATAAAATGAAAGAGAAAGCACAAAGACTAAAACAGGAAAATGAAACTCTCAAAGAACAGCTCAGAGAAGAAAAAGAAAAGTCTGAAGATCTTTTATGTCAGGTATGTGGATGGATTTGGTGGTTTGAGATCATTAGCAAAGAATCAAGAGAGATAAAAATTCATAGTTAATCAGAATGGACCATCTCTCTCTATGGTAACTGTTCTTCACATAGATCTAGACTCATTCCTTGTGGTTAAAACTGAATTGTTTAAACATGAAACTTCTTTCTTAATTTATTTCCCTAGTCTTAAGGGACACAAAAGAGAAGGAGAAAATACTGAATTGGTTCTAATATAGTTTATCCTTAAGACTAATAGTAAATGAGAACAAGAAAGCTAAAAAATAATTTTATCATGTGCTCCTAAATATGGAATACCACTAATATTTGCTGTCACCTGGCAGCTAAAATACAACTGATATTTGAAATACGAGAATAAAATTTACTAGACACCAAAGTAGGCCAAAAGCAGAACAACACTTAAGCTCTCTAAAGACAGACTGGTTCTCACTGCTCAATAATGATTAAAATATGTTTATTTTATTTTATTTTATTTTTTGAAGCTGAACAACAGCATTATCATAAAAGTTGATACATGCTGAAAGCAGAGGATATTTTAATGTATGCATTTACTTAATCATTATAATATAGTACTTTCTCTTAAATTTGTTCTCCTATTTTAAAGAAAATCGCATTGTTTGTTTTATTAACATCATATCATGTTAGTGCAGACATAGGTTTTGTGAGTATATTTTTATCAGCATCCTGGCAATCACCAGGCTTCCATTTTTTGTTTCTTTTTCTAACAATAACATCATCCTGTATTCCCCCTTCTCAGTGCAATAATAATTTTTCACTAGGGTTTTCCTTGGGGAAGTAGTGATTTGAATTGAGTTTGGTTCTTGCATAACAGGCACGCATTTGCTGTTTGCGTTGGAATGTAAGAGTTTGCTTCCATCTCATTATAAATTAATTCTTTTTAAGCTTATTAGCTATTGTATATGGATGTTGTTTGTTACAAGTGCTCATCTGCCTTGTAGGTGCAGCTTCTTCGTAAATCATTGCTCAGACAGGAGGCAGAACACACAAGAATAGCTTTGTTGGAACAACAGGTACACAATTATGTGCTAAAATGCTGATATTTAATGTGTTAGGCACAGAGTCTTTCTAGACTAACTTCACATTTAAGAATGATTAGTATATCAAAATAAAGTAATGCTAGACATGAATATTCAATTGTAGATAATCTCTTGATGCTTTCAAAAATTTTGACATGTCAGGAGGAAAATCTGTAACCTTGTACTGACAAGAGGGTATGATCAAATCTGATAATGTTTTCTCCACAATCACTTATTGAACAGGTGAAGCCTCAGATAAGGCATAGGAAGCATCCTAAAACTAATCACCTAATTAAATTTAGCAATATATTTTTGATATAGAAATAATTGCATTGCTATATTTTATATTTTCCTTATTTGAAATTGAAATACCCTCCAATCAAAATAACTTTAAACTGTATCTCTTCTAAGGGAGATTTTAATAATTGGGCACATGTGAATTTCACTGTAATAAAAGCAACAGCAATTTTTAATTTTTCATTTAAATTTTCCTTTTAATCCCATTTTAAGATGTTATTGCAGAGCAAATACATCTGGCTTTAAATACATAAATGGGAAACATTCCTCCCAATTCATACTAACTTTGACTTTAAGTTTTCACTTTGTTGGGCTGCCAGATCCAGATATGTACCACAGACTTAGAGAATGGGAAGCTTGATCGCCACAACCTGAAGCTTGAGTTAAACCACGTTCTCAAGGAGCTGCGCAAGGCCAAGGAGAAAATCACCCGTCTGGAACCCCTGGTATGTACTGAATATTCAACTCACAGGTGAATTCACTCAGGGATTTTGCAAAAACATACATCTTCTTGCTTTGGGATCTTGTTTCAAACCCTGAGTAAGTGTCCCTGCATCCCTTATGTCTGTTCCCCAAGCTGCAGAGCCCTGTGCAAGCCAGGCAGGCGCTGCTTTGCTCTGCAGCAAGCACGGAGCAGGAGCACTGCAGCAGCAGCTCCAGAACAGGCAGGGTGCTGAGCAGGGAACACTCTGTACTCTGTATCAGTGTGTCACCCAGCTTTGTCTGTTGCACCATGACAAAGATGCAATGTGCTTCCACTCACACTTGTTGCTGGTGAACAGGGCACAGTCCTTAGTGCTGTAACACACCCAAGGCTTGTGTGCCATCAAGCCTTTAATATATTTTCCTACAGTGTTTGATCAGTGCATGCATGTCCCCGTCTTACAGTGAAGCTCCTCCTTTTCCAGAAACTCCGGGAATCTGGACATATGGAATCACAAGAAGATTTGCCAGCTGTATTTGACAAGAAGCTGACCACATATGACAGAAGTCCTCCCCTGAAACATTCCAGCTGCCTTGATGAAAGTTTTCTCGAGTGTCCCAGATGTAAAGTGCTATATCCAACGAGCCAGCATAGAGAATTACTAGCACACATTGACTTCTGTACAGCTTGAGCTCCAAATGGACTAACTATCTTTGCTTCATATCTGCTGCCAATATGCCTGGCAAAAGATCTTTTAAAGCTTTTTTTCTTGCAGTTGTATAAACAACTGCTGATTTTATAAGTCAGTTCCACAAAAACAGTATTAACATTATAATTTGGCCTCAGTATTTTACCTCATGTTTTTGCAAAACAGCTACTGCATTTTCTAGTTGCAAACAAAAATATTTTTAGAGTTAGGAATATTTTAAATAGTAAACTACTGACGGGTTTTTTTTTGCACTATTAAATGTAGGAAATAGTAAAAGCACAATTATTGTGTCAGACTATATTTTAGTTTTGGCATACCCAGTTCTTGGTTGTTGAATCCTGATGATTGTGCTTGTACCTTAACTGACAAGAATAGCTGCAAAAGATTTTTGGCCCTCATAGTTGCACTATATATATATATATATATATATATTTATTTATACATGGTGTGTGTATATATGTGTCGTGTGTATAGTATATACATACATGTGTTATAGATCATATATATGTGGAATATCAACATCTTGATACATAAAAACTCAGGAGGGCCATGTTAGATCTTTGCTGCTTAAGATTGATGTTCAAACCATCAATCTTAAGTAGCTGATTATCCTGAACCACCATCAGGGGTGACTAAAATGCTGACCAAGGTTTAACCTCAGAAAAACAACTTCCTAGCAAACAAAAACTTCCTTGGTGCCAAAGAAAGTTTATATTTCAGACAATGTCAGAGGCCATTTTTGAATTTTGCATATAGAATTATGCTGAATTAAACTTGTTTTGCTTCTGTGTTTCAGAGGTTAAAGTTGGGAAATGTCAGTTATTCAACCTTAGATTGGACAAATGTCCCAAAGTGCAGTTTTTAACAAATTGCTCCAGTGTATTTGGAGTGTAACTGTATTTTGGTATTGATACAAAACATGAGTTAATGACAAATTCTGGCAACAAATTAGAAACTGGCAAAAAAAATCCCTAATGGATTGCAATTGCAGTGTCATTTTTCTCTAGCACTTACTGTAAACTTGAATGTGTTGTGAGCATTTTGTTCCTTGCATATGCAGTGAAATCCCAACAAGAAGTTACTTCTGTGGAAATTATTAAAATGGGGAAATTTTACAAAGATGCACTAGTTAAGAATAAATTTGTGCATTTTACAAGTTTGTGGTTTGCTGAGGACACACAGGTACCCAAGGTGTCTCTTTCTCTGGCCTGCTGATTCTGATTGCTAGCTGGTGTCAGCTTTCTCCATCGTGCTTTGCTGCAAAACTGTGCTTTTACCCATAATGTTCACCTTAATCCCTAATGGTTAAAACTTATTCTTAAACATGAAGGTGTTTTCCAATTTATTGAAAACAACTAATAGTATCAAGTGATGTTATTCTCGATTAAATCCAGTACTCTCCAGATAGAAAATACTAAAAGGTATTATCTTAATATCTGGAATATCTGCCAGATTTATTGTATTAGCCATTCTCTATCCACATTTCAATTTCACTGACTGTGTCTCAGGCTAATCTTTGTATTTGACAATTTGCTCAATTGCTAGCAACAGATTTACTGACCAAAGATATGATAAACTAATGAGTAAAAGAGAAATTGTGCTTCAGAATCTCAAGGATTTGTCATGAGGGAAATTGTCTTAATTTAATATAATTTTAAAAATATTTTCGTTCAGGATGATAACTATGCTTTTCATTACAGCCTAATAATTTTAATCTCTAATTAAACTACTTTTAAAAGTTTAAGTTTGTCTTTGAACAACACCTTAGTCAGCTAGTATTCTATTCTCAGCTGCATACTCAGCAGTTTCTGCAAAAGGAAATCCTTATCTTTTATGTATTATAAATGAAATAGGTTTGCCTACTACAGGTCAGAACTCTTCAGTAGTTCTGAGGCTTTCTTAAATCAGCATAAAACACTTCTGCATTAGAAACTGGTACTGTAGAGGGAGACTCGGAAAGTTCATAATGTGATAATGTTTAAAAGGTTTTGTTCATTCCACCTTTTCTGAACTTTAACAATGGATTTAGTCCTACCTGATAAATTTTACACCTAAGCACAAAAACCCCCTGCTGATAAATTTTTACAGGTCATTATTGTGGTATATGTTGCAAAATACCAAGAAGACATTCCAGTGAAGTAAAACACTTTGAAAGCAGACCCACAAATACTATTGTCATCACCTACATGTAATTAAAACCAACTATAAAACTCCAACTTTGTAAGGTATGCAAATCATAACACTACTTTTTTTTCCCATTACTTAAAAGCTAAGAAATCTCAGATTTTTTTTTTTCACTCAAAGTTACCAAAGGATATCTGCTGCTCCTCTCTAGTTATATGTGGAGAAGAGAAGTTTGTGCCTAAAATGCTCACCTTACTTGAAAGAATTAATTAGCTGTCAGTATAGTTCTTGGTAAGGCAGGAAGCAACAGCAGTGTTTTCATTACTTCAAGTACTTTGGGTTTACAATTTCAGGAGTCTTTTTCTGTTATGTCCCCTTCAAGTAATTGAATTTCAACCTACCAGAAAGACTGCATTATTTGAAGCTGTTGATTTAGGGAAGCTTGGGGGCTAATACAATGGTTTACCAAGAGTAGTGTATTTATAAATCTAGCTTTCACACTGTTCTTTTTAAGCAAATTAAATGGCTTTGATGCAATGTTGGGTGGCTGGAAAGACAACTAAAACTCCCCATTTTTTTCCATAAGAAGAGGCTGCTTGTGAAAAAAAACCTGAAAGATATCTCTCTTGTTTATCTTAGATCCATGAATCAACTTGTAATACCCTACTTGCTTGTGTAGCTTTTAGTCTCAGTTTTGATACCAATCTCTCACAAGGTTATCTTGATTTTGAGTATTGTACTTCAAGAACAATTCAGACTAATATGAATGTAGTAGAAGTCTTTCAGATTTTTGATCAAATTCATGGAAAAGCCAGGCTTATCCAGTCTAGAAAAAAACAGGAAAAATTACAATTTCATACAGAGGAAAGAAAAATAAGTCTTCCAGTGCTCAATGAAAAGAGTAACATGTTCAAAATTGCAACAGATAAGGAAAATCTTTCTGGTGGTAGGAGCAGATGAGCAGTGAAACACATTGCTTACAGAGGCTGTAAAATCTCCACCACTGGAGATTTATGGGGACACTTATGTAACTACCTAAACCATCCCTGACAGGCCAGGCTGCCTTGGCTCAGGGACATCAGCCACTGATTTCTTACAGTGCCTTGAAACCCCATTTTTAATGGCACATAAAGACCTACAAGAAAAAAAGACACAATAAGATTTAAATAAAAAAAGGCACAATGGTTCTGCACTGACTCTTCATCTTTTTCTTTAGCATGTAGTGTTATTTCACTACATGCTAAATTAGTAGCTACTGTACCAGAAGTTATTAAAACAGTTAATTCTCATGTTTCTCAACTGGAAAATTACTGGTATTCCTATGTCTGTATGAACTTCTAGTCTAAGCAGACATAGGATACCATAAAATACTGCTTCAAAACAGTACTTGCACTCATGCATCACTTTCCTGCTGAAAAACAAGATAAAAGACACAAACACAACTTGATGTCACTTAATTCCTGATTATTGGGAAGTGCATCATTCCCACATTGTTTTAACAAACAGCACCATGGTGTCTGGTTCTTTGGTGTTTGGGGTTTGTAGGCTCCCCTCCATAAGGTGCTCCAGGTAGAGGATTCAGAAAGCTGGTGTCTTGAGTGGGAGCTGGCCAAGCAGCCAGTGAGAAACATCACTGCTCTAGAGGAATTACAGATGTAAATTCTCTTCTAACATTGTCAATGTCAAATGCATCCTTGCAAAAAAAGCAGACTTCAAATAGGACATGTATCCATGAAGTGAGACTCTCCTCACACCCAGTCCTCCTTCAGGCCTGGAACAGAGCTCCCCACCAGCATTTAGGGACAGACACTCATTTGGTGGTCTCTATGACCAACCAGAATTTTCAGTATTTTATACTGAATTAATAGTTCCAAAAAGACAGACCAAGACAAGGGGCTTCAAAATATTCCGTAAGAAAGAAGCCTGGGAACTTATCAAGGTGATATCCTGCTGGCTTCTTGATGGAAATGCAAGCAGTTTTAATTTCCCTCATAAATTTAAAACTGGTGAATGTGCACACTGTGCCAGTGAAAGTGATAGTTTTGTCCATGTAACAAGCTTGATAGGGTCAGTGCTATCTCATGCAACTAGGCAGAAAACTCTACAGCCTAATTAAGGCATGCATGCTTTCCAGACTCAGTTTATGGGAAGCTCCAAGTCACATCTTATCAGTCATCTGAAACTGCCACTGATAATGAAAACCATAAACAGTGTGGGAAATAACATGATTACCATTACATTAGGGAAGGCAGAAGGGGTTACAGCAGAATTTAAAGCATGATTTGAATTTTCATTGCTTTTGCAAGATTGATTTTTCTGTTTCTCCAGCCCTAGCTTAATGCTAGCTAAGGAGAAGCCTGACAATGTAGACAATCTTTGCAGCAGACAGGCACTGTAGACCTTCCTTCAGAAATATGTGGCTTTTAAAAGTAAAGCTGCTATCCCAATTTGGAGCTGAAGAACCCCTGTTGTTCCCAACAAGTTACTTTTCTAAGATGAGACATCAGGGAAAGAAAAGGGACATTTCTCCTTAAACTTCATGAATAAGAGCATTCTCTAATCCCTGCGTTCTTGACAAGGAGAGCAAACAATGGTGTCTGTGATCTCTGCACAGCATAAAACCCAGCAGACCAACGTGTTCAGGGAATGTCTGAGTACATCTCCTGAGCTGGACAGGCTGGTGACAAATTTAGTTTGTAAATCCTTCAGATGTTCACCATGTTCACCGCAGCTTTTGTTTTGATGTCTTTGCATCAAAGCTCATTAGAAGGAATGTAAGTAACTTTATGCACACCTGAAAGTTAAGCAAAGATCCAGTGGCACTTAAACATCCAACTCTGCAAAAAAACTCATGCAGGGTCTCAGTTCCTTGGTAAGAGTGTTCTGCCAGATCCTGCAATGTCCAAACAAAGCAGTCTGATACTCTGTATTCACTGATAAACTCCCTAAATCCACAGGCTTGATGTATAAGTGTAATAAGAGTTTGTACGACTGTTAAGAAACAACCTCATTTAGTTAGAGTTTAGCTGGAGCTGAGTCACTCTGGTGAAGCTTGGTTAGCATGCAGCAAAACAGAAAATGTGACCATCCAGAGGAAGTCTATGTTACGTGGATTATGTTCTTAATTTGCATTTGGTTCAGGGAGAAATCTGTTCCTCACTGTAAGCCACAATGCTGATGCTGGCAAACTTCTGGTGGTCTTGATGACTGGAAGCTGACCCAGCTTTTATTAGAAAGCACATCTGACAGCATTATTGGCACTCTGCTTTTGGCTGAGGCCTTGAGTAGTAATGCTGCTGCTACAGCTTGAAACTACAGCGCCACTGGCACTTATCCCAGGAAGTGTGCCAGCTTCTAATGGGTACTGACCACAGCAAAATGAGACTTCCCAGAAGAAACTGTGACTTGCTCATGTCCCAGAAGAAACAGGGATTTGTTTTTGTTCACATGATAAGTGAAGCATCTAGTTATTTTCAGTGGACAAAGGAATGTGTGAGCTTGCTACTATATGTAAACAAACCGATGCATTTATATTTGCCCTAAAAGTTTAAAACTGTCCCTCACACATTGGTGCAAGTGCCTTGGCTCACTGACATGAAAGTATAAAATGGGTGAGCAGTTCAAAAACTTCCTAAAAACCAAAATAAATCAAAACAGACTTGTATTTGAAACATACCTTACAATGGTATAACATCTTTTAAGCACAGGATTCATAGTATCTAGAAGCAGAACAGCTGCAGTGTAATATGTAAGAGCAAAAATGAAAATAAAAAGCTCGCCTTGGTTGAAACTTACGATAAAAATCTTATTGTGCAGATGCATGAATCATCTACAAGCTTGTAACGTCTCTTGTGAAGACAAAGAGACAATCTTTCTAATGAAATGAGTATACATCACTTAGCAAACATTAAATGTGCAATACATCTGTTACAGAAGTCAGTGCTATTTACCTAGTGTGATACAGGTGCACAAAATACACCCAAAGACTTAAAACACCAATCTACAGGCAAGAAGATGCATAAATAAGGAAAAACCTTTACTAAACCATATCCAAATGGAACAAGAACTCCCATCTCCCAGAGTCACCCACTAAGTGGTCCCTTTCTCTGGGAATATTTCTTAATGCTCAAGATATAAATAAGCTGATCGATGCCCATCTGTCACGACAGTTCATGGTTGCCAGGGGAACAATCTGAAAAGCAGAGCTTGACTAATGGTATCAGGTAACACAGCCCTTATCTGAAACAGAGAAGGCCAAACCTTGGGCTTTCATTAGGGATGAAGAAAACACCCATGAAAAAAGAAACAAGATTTTTTCCTGCTAGGTTAGACAAACCACCTCCACAGAGGTCTCTGCAGCTTTCATTTAACTTAGAGCAATGAAATCTGAGCTGACTCCATGTTTGAGCATAAAAGCAAACATAGGTTACAAAAATTATATAGGTTAAGCAATCATAAGAGGTTTCCAGGCATTCTGGTAATCACTTCCTTGTCATGAGCACGTGGTGCACATACCACATGCAGCATCCACCTATTACAATAAAGCCAGAGTGGCTCTGTGGGGGTTACGACTCCTCTCTTCCTCAGATTTCATGTTCTGATGGTTGCTATGATTAGACCTACCCAACAGCAAATACAACTTTTGTACCTCATGGGAGGAAAAAGAAAGTTGCTCTTTTAGATAATGGATCCATTAGACCCAAGAGTAATCAGGCAATTTTTGCTCCTGCAAGGAGCCCCCACTTGTTTGATCAAACCTGAGGGAAACCAGCATGTTTTCTCACACCTCTGCTGTCCCCAGGCACAGGATTTTGTACACAGGTCAGTGTGAAGTTCACTCACTAACTAAAAGCAGCAATTTACTTTGGCTCTCCTGAGCAAACAACACGCTTATGCCAAGTAACTCACACCTAAGGACCAAAGCTGAAGGTGGTCCTTTCTAAAGAAGATCGAAGATCTACCCAGACACTTCCACACATCATCTGATCTTCAAACCTTCTTCTCTTCTGGCACTCCTTTCCTTCCTGACTAAAAGTATCTTAATTTCTTCAATAATGCAGCTTTGTATGTTTCAGTTCCTGTTTTCTTTCCCCTATATTGTTTCAAATATGTTTACTTCTACTCTGAATTGACAGGGCCAGTTTCTAATTTAACTTTCCACTAATGTCAAAGGGGCTAAATATTTTATTCATAATAAAATTTGCTTTTATCTGTGCTACCATTTCCAGCTGCCTCACCTCTGCTCCCCCTGTCCTGTTAATGCCTCCCAGGTTTTCACACAGGTACAACCAGGCTATTAACAATGGCTCTTTCCCAAATCCCTGCCATTATTTAGAGCTGACCACACCACTGCTACTGCCAGCTGCCCAGAACTTTGGGGCTAGTCTGTCAGCTCGTAAAATGTCCCAGGCCTGTGAGGTTGTGGCAACTACAAGGTGTTGCTGTATTTCAAGATTCACAAATCATTTTAAAGAATCAGTTCATAGCAGAGCCAAAATAAATTGCCTTAACAGGGGATGCTGTGCCCACATTTCATACAGTCATCTGTCAGCAGGAGCCAGCAGGAACATTTCATACACCTGTTTAGGCTGCCCTGCAAACTCCTTGTTTGATGAGATAGCATAGATAGTTAGAACCACTAACTGAAATACTTGCTATTTGAAATAAGTGCAAATTCTGCACAGGCAAAGACGTGGGAAGCAGTCCAGGAAAGATGTCGCTCTTGTCATCCCTCATTAGGAGATTGCCCCTTCAAAGGGCCAAGTTTCTGGAATCCCCACTAATCTGGAATCCCCGCTAATGCTGTTGCGTAAATGGTTGATGGCAGGGTCACACCCAGGGTAGTGCAGAAGCACTGCCCGTCACCTGCTCCCCGTGGCGCTCCGGTTTTGTACCGCACACACGTGGAATCACTCTCACCTCATCAAATGATGTAGGTCCACACGCTGAGCCTCAAAGTGCACCCTTGAGCGCCTGCACTGGCACTCAGCCAAATCAATTCACCCGGCCTAAAGTTATACAACTGTTTACATACTGTATGAAAACATTTTATCTTCTTTCATGAGACATTATCCGCCTGTCTGGGACAATTTACGTGCTTCACTTCCAGCCTATTTCTAAAACATCTGAAGTGAAGACCCTAAGTGGAAAGTCCTACTTTCATTTACAATCTGAGCAACTGCTTCTAGTAATTGAAGTTCAGAGAAAATAAGGTATTTTCGAGGTTTGTCTTACTTTAACAGGCTTTTCCAGCACAAACTCCTAACACCGGTGAGATTCTAGATGAATTTCGTAAATAGATCCCAAAATCATGTCGGTGACACTTCTCCACAGTTAGGACAAGCAATGCACAGGTCTGCTGTTTCCAAAAGCCACTGACAATAGAGGAGGTGATAGGTAAATTCCTCTTTCTCACTCTTTTTTTTTTTTTTTTACCCCAGATTACTCTGGTCATACAAGGCTCCTGAGAAGAGCTCTCAGAGTGGTGGGGCAGCCATCCATGTTTCTCAGCCAAGCATACCCCATTGGATGGGAGCAGACTGAGTGGCCTCCCAGGGTCACTGCCAGGGTCACTGGCACCCCAGAGGCCTGCCTGGGGAGCCGAGCAGACCAGGGCTGGCACTCGATGAGGTGGCTGGGCCTGGGCATGGCAATGGCAGCGTGCTGACCCACACCCTGCCCAGGGAGGTGTCGGGCAGCCCCTCACCGCCACCCCACGCACTGCGGCCTCGCCTTTGTGTGAGCTCCACCGTGTTTACTCTCCCACTTCCTTGTTCCACTGCACTGCGAGGGCCATAAACCGCCCAGCTGGCACGGCTGAGCCCTCGGTAGCAGGGACAGGAGGAAGAGGAGGGAGGGGGATGGCGGTCATGCCCTGGCTCTGTGCTGGAAGGGCACCTCAGGTGCCGCCGTGGTGGTTGGGAGCGCAGCCCTTCCTTTAGGGCTGGTGCAACCACCCCCGGTGGGTCTCATGCCCACTGGCCACCCTCATGCCCGTGTCCAGGGGCACACCAGGATGGAATAAGACCTATTTCCCCTTCTTCTCGGACTTGAGGGGCCACAATGTGACGGCCCTGCGCATCGGCGAGTCCTGTGCCCTGGTCTTCATCTTCCTGCTGTCGTTGGCGGGAAACATCTGGGGCATCTGCCTGCTGGTGAGGCGGCACCGCCGGCTCTGCGCCGCCAACTGCCTCGTCCTCAACCTCTTCTGCGCCGACCTGCTCTTCATCACTGCCATGCCCTTCATCGCCGTCGTGCGCTGGACCGAGTCCTGGGTGCTGGGCAACTTCGTTTGCCACCTGCTCTTCTATGTGGTGAGCTTGAGCGGCACCGTCATCCTCCTCTCCCTGTCGGCCGTCAGCCTGGAGCGCTTCGTCAGCATCGCCCGGCTGCGCCACGCCACCTTCCGCCGCCGCAAGGTGCTGGCCGCCGCCTTGCTCCTCATCTGGGGCCTCGCCGCCCTCGCCACCCTCCCGCTCTGCTGCTTCTTCACCGTGGTGCAGCTGCCCGCCCCCGCCGGCCAGGTGAGGGCGAGCGCCGGGCGCGGCAGCCGGGCCGGGCCGGGCCGGGGGGCGGCGGGACCGACGGCGGTGGGGGCTCGTCCGCCTCTGCCCCGGCGGGACAGCGGCCAGCGAGGCGATCGCCTGCAGGGCGGGCAGCGCTCTGTGTGCTGGGCAGGTGCGAGGCTGTGCCCGGAGGAGCGGCAGGAGCTCCCCCGCCGACCCCCGGCCCGCTCTCCCGGCGGACCGTCCCGTTAGGTGGGAAACGCGCATCGGCTGAGATTCTCTTTGTGCTCCTCGGTGCGGCTCAGAGACCTCCTTTTCAGCTCACTTCCCCTTACCGAGGGATCAGCATCCCCAGGGATCAGCATCCTGGGAGAGCTGCCCTGCAGCCGCAGCCCCTTCTGTACAAAATGGCCATGCACAGATTTTTCTGCCTAATATTTTGAACTGCATACAAAAGTGCACCCCACATGACACTTGAATAAATGAATAAGATTAGGGTCTATAAGTTTCAATTTTAAAGTTGCCATTACCATTTGATAAGAAATTAACAGAAGTAGTCCAGTTGTGGACATATCTATTTGTGATTGTATGGGTTTTTAAAACTATCAAGTAATATATTACTTGACCCCTTTGTCTAAGTAGAAAGTTTTCAGTCTTGGTTTAGTCTTGGTTTAGCCATTTTTTCCCATAAGCATAGAGGGGTATAAGAACAGTGCTGTACTGAAAATAATGGTACAATATTACTTTTTTTCTTCAATGTTTTTAAATAGGACATTCATATTTGCACCCTGGATTGGCCCAGCACTGCAGGCGAAACAGTCTGGGATACGACCTTTGCCATTGTTTTCTTTCTGATACCGGGATTCATCATTGTCATCAGTTATTCCAAAATCTTACAGGTATGTTTTTCCTTTAAATTTTGTTGTAAACAAAGGGAAGTAAACAGTAACTCACTAGGCATCAGCATATTGTCACCAAATACCAATACATGTAAAGGGAACAAACATTTGTTCAATAAATTATAAGTATGTGATATGAAATCGAGCATTTCAACCTGCACATAAGAGCCTATATACTTCAATTAAGAACATGCTTCAGCAGCACCTTACCAGAGGCCCAACACATGGTTTGTCTTCTCATGTATAGTATTAAATACACTTCTTCATTTATGTGCTGTTCATATTTCAAGAGTGTCAATCTCCTAAATGCTGAAAGAGTCAGGCATTTGAAATAACTAAAAACTAGATTTTGCTTTTCTTGAACCTAAACTCATCATAAGGGATTTGTAAGAAAGCAAAGAAAGGTAGGACTAGAAAAAAAGCCATCCACTTTTTGATCTACTGACTTTCTGCATGTGTCTTTAGTACACAGATCTCATTAGATTATGCTTAATCCTCCACAATTTCAAATATTGTAAATAAAACCTGTAAATTAAACCATCTGCTTCCACTTTCTTTCTAAGTGGATGATGTTTAACATATGCTGAAATATAAGCCAAGCCACACAGCACCACAGAGTTTTAATCTATAGTCTAGCAAGCATTATATTAGCATCTAATTTCCTTTTAAACTATCCAAAACCAGAGTGAGAAAGATCTAGAAATCTTCAAACCAAGCACTTCAAACTAGTCACTGCAATGCCTAGTTTTTAACAACGAGCTACAAGATCCTTGCTTGCTTTTTTTGGTAATTAAACTTCTCATAAGAAAATTATAGGTTTTGGAAAGGAACCTCAACATACACAGATTCTTGAGCAAGGAGTTAACTGATAAAACGCTGAGCACCAACGGGCTCTGGATACACATGCCAGAGCTGGATGTAGGTGTAAAATGAACCAAGGACCTAGAATCTGGTCTCCACATATCCTTGCTTATTGATCAAACTTAAACTTGTAGTAAAAGTCATCAGCCTGTAGTTTCTGTATTAGCTCATTGTAACCTTGAGGTAAATGCATTAGGTGAACCTCTTCTAGTGAAGTAAAGCACTTGCAACCACATACAGGTAGGCAAAGACCTCAGAGTAAATCACTGGAGAGTGAATCCTTTGAAACAACTGCAAATAACTGGAGGCCAAGAAATGCCACAGTTCTTGGTCAGAGCCCAGGACAGGAATGGTGTTAGTCTCGTCCTTGCAGACTCCAGATTACAGGTAAATTTATTTTAAAAATGGCACATAGGGAGCTAGAAACCAAAAGCATGGATTGGAATACTGGATTACAAGACATCCCCATGCTGCTCTGCTCCTGTTTCTTTTCTAACTTGCTAAGAGAGATGCTAAAATACATTACCATTTCCCCTGAAATGAGGAAGGCTTGAGGGCCATAGCAAGATATAATTGAATCTTCTCTCTCTCCAGGAAGCAAGCAGAACTGAACTGGAGAATGTCTCAATCCCTGAGTCATTCCCAAGAGCAGACTCACTCTCACTTTGTGAGAATGCTTCATCATGCCAGTGCACACATATCATGATTCTCGGAATTGCTGGAAGCAGTGCCAAGCATTCATGTATTCATGTTACAACATTGATCAGAATGATGAAGATAATGAGGACTGACTACAGATGCAAGACCAGAAATTTTTTAGAAATATACACTACTACAAATGTGTACTTCACAATTTAGTCTGAAACTGAGTATTATTTTTACATAACACTTCCCAGAAGAATCACTGGCAAAAGTGATAGATTAGATGCCATGATTTGTAATTTATTTGGTTTTCCTTTGTTCTGCCTCTCAGGCAAGACTTTGTCAGAGGCTAGAGCAAGGAAAGATGTCTGTGTTCTGGAAGTTACGTGCTTATATATATCTGACTTTTAAGTTCCTGTTTGCCCAAGTGTGGTCCAGATGCCAAGGATAGGTATCTATACTGGGTAGACCAAAAAGAGATCCACAACTTACCACTGCCACTCCATTTCTTTTGAACACTTTCTTAAGAAGCAATTGTGTCTTATTTACCACAGTCCTGGTGACTCTTGCATTGTTAGTTCTGGGCTGTGCAGCTCCTGCAGGAAAGACAGAGGGTATTTACATGGGACAGATAAAAATGTATCTGATGAGGACATTCTGTAGCAGTTTTGAACAGTGATGACTGAGAAGTGCACACAACCCAGTTTTCCTGTTTTTGTATTAGAAGTGGATATTAGTCCTTTGCATTTTGTGAAGCCTTTGTTCTTACTAAGATAGGTTAGGCACTCTGAGAACAATTCTTAGTTTGGGCTGCTTGGAGGAATTAACCTAATTTCTGGATTCCAGATTGTACAGCAGAAGATCATCAAGCTGGAATTGTTTTACATGCTCAGGACATCAGAATTCTCTACTCCTTTTAAATCAGGCAAGCAGCTGTGATAGTGATAACTGTCCCCTTCTCAGCCTCAGAAGCTGCTAAGAAATGCACTTGTGGTTCATGGGTTTTAATTTATACATTCTATTGAAATATTTAGAAGATGTCTAGATTCTTAATGAGTATTTATCTCCATGAAAAATTCAGAAAACTGCTAACAAAATGACAAATTACTCTCTCTAAACATTTTCATCCTTACCTGTACCAGGAAGTTCAAATGTTGCTAGTATTAGTGTTACCCTTCCTGTAGTTTCTGCTAAAGGGAAAAGTGGGAGGTAGAGCCTTATCTTTTGACTTCCTATATAGTCAGCTAAGGATTAATCAAAACCTTGATCAATCAAGTCTTGATTGATCAAGGCTTTTGAAAACACCCCTTCCTTATGCATGCAAGGGATAAAGTGGCATCTCAGTGATTTAGCACAAATCTTTGCTAGATATTTCAGTTTTAATTTCTTTGCATCAGAGGTATGAATGTAGCAAAATTAATTGTGCCATGCCAACTTCAGGGAAGACAGGGATTTAGAGCAGAGGATTTCAAATTTTCTGCAAGCCCAATATTCTACCTAATGACAGATGCACACCTGTGAATACTAGGTTTCCAAGCTACCCATAGTCTAGTTTATTACATCAGAGAGAGCTTTTATAAGACACAGGTTTTTATAGTGACTCTAACGATCTGTAAGATTTCATAGAAAGCAATTGTGATTGCTGTCTGAAAAGCTGTGTCACACAAAACAATGCACAATCTCATTCACATTTAAAATAATTTATTGTAATAAATTCATGCTCCTTCTAATACCTACCTTATAATATCAGCCTGCCCATAAGAGAATTGGATTGCTTTCCTTCTTGTGCATCAACAGGATTGCTAACTATGTTCCAGTTTGCATTTGTGAAAAAAATCAATGGGTTCCTTTAGATAGAGCAAATGAGGTCATAATTTGAATTTAATGGGATTTCATGAGTAATTAAGACTGTTTTATGCTGAAAAGCATTTGTGACTGGTAGAGAGCCATGAAAAGAACAACCACTTTGCCTAATATTGAGATGAATTCACAGCTGAGAGGAAAAAGAATTGCTAGTGAAATGAGAACATTTGAAATGGAACCATGGACAAAAAGTACAAATGAATTCTGCAATGTGTTTTTTTTGTAGTTGCTTATCAAAAGAAAACATCATATGCCAAAATTTACGTTTTCACTTGTAGAAATGTGTTTCAGTGAAAGTTTACTTTCTTCTCTTTTACTGCAGATTACAAAAGCATCAAGAAGAAGTTTAAATGCTGGTTTAGCCTACCCAGAACATCATCAGATTCGTGTTTCCCAGCAAGACTACAAACTATTCCGAGCCCTTTTTCTGTTGATGATCTCTTTCTTCATTATGTGGACTCCAATAATAGTAATTATTTTTTTAATTTTAGTTCAGAACTTCAAAAAAGATTTAAATATTTTGCCATCAGTTTTCTTCTGGATAGCATTATTCACTTTTGCCAACTCTGCTGTCAATCCAATTCTGTATAATGTTGCCTATTTCAGACGTAAATGTCAGGAAATTTTTCTCTGTTGTACAGGGAACCCTGAAAGGCATAGAGCAGGTACAGAAACCACTGCAAGAAGAAGTAACCATGAACAGCCACATTTGTCTTTCATTACCAGATAATTATTTAAAGTCTGAGCTATGCCACATTTTGGATTTTGTCTATCCCAGGTCATATAGGTCATTATGTTATAGTATTACATGCCAGAGCAGGAGGAAAAAAGCTAAATATGTATTTTTAATTCCTGCGGGTAAAATTCTCTTGACTTCATTGCTTTGCCTCAGTAAGATTTGGACAATTTAATTTAAGGGAATTCTCCTCTTATGCTGAAATAAATAGAAATATGGCAATGAACTTGGTGAATGTAAAATAGTTGAATTAAGTACTTAAAAGTTTCTAGTGAAAATGTTCATCCTCAGAAAGTATCTGCTTTTTTTAAAATCCAGTTTTTAAAGGGAACTTGATTAAAAACTTCAATAACTGTCTGCCTGAATGTAAGTTTGAGCAGACTAACTGAAACAAGGTAATGAACATGTGTTATCATCAAGTAAATGACTACTTTGGTTCCATCTCAAATTAAAAATATGGACTTAATACATGTGAATTAATAAGTAAAGAATAAATACATAAATGGTTAATTGTCATGTGTAAAATAGTTCTTTTAAAAATATGTATATTTTTTATGTCTTTGCAAGTTATATAATAAAGTTAATTAGTGATATATAGAGTCACTGAAATTCCTTTCTCTTTTCTAAATGATTTCTAGTATTTTATAGGGAAAATATAATGTTCTAGTTGAAAAGAAAAGAAATATACTTGGTGGTTTATGATAAATACTCTTTTCATCAGAAATTGAAACCACTAAAAAAAACAAGATTAAATTCTTAACTATCACCAGTCACTAGTTCAAAAGAGTGCACTAAGATAACAGGCTACTAATGAAACCAATGTGTACATATGTACAGATTTGCATACAATTTGTATCCCGTGTAATCCAAGTTTATTAAAATGTTTCATTGGTTTATTAACAAAGTGAGCTACACAGCTCAGATAAATATATTGAAAATCTAAATGGACCCATTTAAAGCATTTTCCAGAGAACACATGATCAATGTGTTAACTTTACATCCATGGTGCTGTTACATGGCTTCTTTCCATAGGGTTGGATCTCCTTAAGAGCAAAATCCTGAAACACACAAAAACCACAGTTGTGTTTCTTAAACGCTCCAGACAAAATTTAATTACACAAAGTTTCACCAAATTTAAAATGCTTACTAATTTCTTTAAAATGCTCCTGAGTCCAGCAGTCTGTTACTTGTAATAATAATGCCATTACCTTACTCTGCAGTTTATAATTCTAAGGAATTTTCAACTCAGAACAAAACAGGAATTCATCCGATCCATTACACCTCTCCTGAGAATTTTAATACTTTTGCAGACAACGTACTGGGCAGATCAATGACAGAGTATCTTTCAGTGATACTAGATTTAAAAGAGTCTATACTTTAACAAGCTTCTAGTTATTTGCCTAAAAAGGATTGTCTTTCAACAAAGTAAGAATCTCCTGACCCCCCAAAACTTCTAATGGCAATAGTAAATTAGCAGAAGGAATATACCACTCTATTTCACAATTGTTGCTTCCAGCAGATGCAGTTTTCAACTCTACTGATATGACACTGTATTTACAAGTACTCTCACTTAATATTGACATTACACAGTTTAAAGTTGCTTGAGCTACTACTCCGAGAGACGAAGAGTATCATAGCTTGAGCTATATTTGAGAAGGAGCTACCATCATAAATGCAGTGTAAGTTAGGAAAAAACCCTTTCATTTCCTAGGCTTCTTTTTTGCCTTGAACAGCTAATATAGATATTTTAATTTTTTTTTTAATCAAGTAAGTTTTGTACATCTATTAGTTGAGCGGGCACACACACACACATATACACTCTTAATTAGCTTTAAGACATAGGCAGAGTATGCACAATTAACAACAGATCTGATAACAGGGTGCCTTGAAGAAGACAGCAATGTATTACTCTTTGTTTATGGATCAGAGGAACAGATAATAGAGCCACAACAGCTGACTTTGCTCATCTGTTCTGACTTTCTTTATAAGACGCAAAAGTTCCCTCAGTCAATCTCAGATTGTTCTAGCATGTCATTGAGAAAAGCCTTTAATCTTGATTTACAGATTTCATTGATGAAGAACATACAACAACTCTTGGTAAACTGTTCCAAAGGTTAATGACCTTTGGAGTTAAACAAATGGCTGTTTATTTCTGCTCTGAATGTGTCCAGTTTAAAGTTCCATCCATTTAAATTTATTATTTCTGTGTTTGCAAGTCTTTTTCTATCCAATTCCTATTGCTTGTGTGGACAAGCACAGACTTTGCTCAGGTCAGCCTTTAACCTCTTCCTAATAGGAAAAGATTAAGATCTTTAAAGCACTCACTAGAGGACACATTTTACAAACTTTCAATTATTTTTTCTGCTTTTCTTAGAAACTTCTCATTCATCCTCAATACTTTTTCCAGTTATGCTTGTCACCTAATGTGACATAGCAATTAGACCTATGCCAAGCACAACAATCTTTTGTGAGTCTTGGTTTACACATGCAAGAATTGTATTAACTCTTTTGCTCACATCATTACATTGGGAGTTTCCATTCAGCTGATTCACCAGTCAAGTCATTCCTAAATAGTATGCCTTCCAGGATGTGAGGGGTGGGGAGGGAGTTAGGAGAGGTACTACTATTTTATTTGTTCTAAATATTTTGATTTTTCTCCTTCACTCTTTACAATTCCCCACTCTGGGTGTAATTCTTATCATAAGAAACATTATGGTTTCTTCTAGATTATTACCATTTGACCTTTTGTAATACACTTGAGCATAAGTGAGCTAATTCTCTGTGTTGTAAGCTCAGCCTGACTATATGACTCAAGATAGTGTCATGCTTCCAGTATCAGGGCTATGACCCTCTTCCACAGATCTTTGTGAAACAGTTAGCATGAGGACTTGTGAGAAAGGGTCTTCTATAAGGTATCCTTTACAAGACTTCTATTTTCCTTAAAAGCCTTTCTGAAAAATTTCTCAAAAAAGTATTTGAACAAAGGCAAAGAGATGTGATAAAAGCTGCCCAATTACTTTTTACTATAGCTATGAAGTTTATCCTTGCTTTGTTTACTCACACTACATTGATTTAATTGTTTTACAACTTCCTCTAATTACTGTTTCAGCTGACCTGATATGTTGCATGAAAAACTATGCACCTCAGCTCTCCTTCAGATAAGGGAAGCAAAAGTTGGAAATAATTTACTACAAGCTCCAGTTTTCAACAGACAAAGTTACAGCCACTAAGTAAAAGGCGTTATGCATTTGATATCTAATGAGTAATAGAATCCCAGTGCTTTAGTCATTAAACCCTGAAATAAAATTCTTCAGAAAAAAAAGTTCTCACCATTATGAGCGATAACTCTGTATTTCCTGTCCAAACAGAGGTCTATCTGCCTTTGTCTGACAATTTTCAGTGCATCTGGAGGCAATCCCTTGGGGTCCCGGGAGAACACAAAGGAGTAGCTATCAGCACAAGTGCCATCTGCATTTAGCTGGCGGCAGGAGTAATGAAGAGCATATGTGTCATAATCTGTGTCCACTACCCAGTGATCATCATCTGGAAAAAACCATAGCAAAGAAGAAAAAGTGTTAGAGACACCAGTGAAATCCAGTAAATCAGAAAGGATTGCTGCCATAACTCTATTAAAGAAAATGCTAAGATGAAGATCAGTACAAGTTATAGCAGATTAGCTTTTCACTTATTCCTGTGTCCAGTATTTAATTCCATCTTTATTTTTTAAAAGAAAATAAAGATGGACATGCTCAACCTGCTCAAGGTGACTCAACCCATAAATATTTTCTTACCAGGGATATTACTTAGACTGCATTTTTAAGGAAAAAGATAATCATGCATTTTGCTTGTGTATTAGAAGTATTTGCTACAAGTTCTGCCATAAACCCTCTTCTTAAAACATTGTTACAACTCCAGATAATTCTAAACAACTAGCTATATAACCTGACAAAAACCTGGTCACACAGACACTCTGTTGTAACAGAAGTGAGGCTGTTTCAATGTCAGTAAAACCTGACATATCTGCACCTTCCTCTCTTGGAGCCAAAGATCTCCCTTGCAGTACATCTGCACTGGTGAAGGCAACACTCTGTTGTCTTCCCCTTCTCTCCTGTGGGGGACACCAGACCTTTTAGAAAGGCAGAGTTTGGGGTCAGCCAGCAACCTGAAGAGCCCATGACTCAGCAGCATATAGTGGGGAGACCTGGGAACTGTTTAAGACAAATTGACATCCAAAACATGCTATGTAACTGTGTCTTTAGATGGAATGGATCTCCTATCAGTTCCAAATTCTACCTGCTTCTCTTGGAAACAATCCAAGGAAATGTCTTGACCTACAAAGTGTCTGAATCTCTACTTGGCTCAAGGAACTGATTTTGTATAGGGTGGAGAGATGACAAGTACAAATATATACATATGATCATATTTGTCTCTTAAAACAGAGAAATCTCTACATTTGCAGACACAAGACCAAACAAAATAACATTTTATAAATCCTCTTCCCTGCTTGGCCAGCTCTGACATCAGGCTTAGAGAGAACACTAGCATCCGGTAACTGAGTTCTGAACTAAAACAAGTCTTAAAATACTTAATTTGCCTTTCATTTCTTTCCAAACAGTGGCCTTCAATTATATTGTTGGGTAACAAACAAATGAAATACAAAGATATACAAAGGCCAGTTCTTCACTTGTTTAAAGAAAGCCAACCAGCTGTCCCATATAAAAAGTAGTGATTACCTTGTTCATGTTAAGCTTTGCAGTATGATAGTTATTAAGTCTTTTAAGTGTATTTAAGAAATTCAACAGTACTTTTTCTTTTCCCAGCATGGACATACAACATAACTTGTCTTCCAAGTAGTTCCATATCTCCTATAGTTAAGTACTCACTTCCTTTCTGCAGAAAAGAGGCAACTCCCCAGTACCTCATCTTGAACTTGGCAGGATCCTCTGTGTCAGTGAAAGAGCCAATCATGTCAGCACAGACATCCCAGTTACTGTAGCCAAAGAAAATATCACATTCCAATGTAAGAGCACAGCTTCAGTGACTTGCACAGGGATAGCAGGTAGGATTGGAGCAGTAGCTTAGCAAAATGGAACAAGAGGAGAGTGGCAAACAGCTTACTTGAAGAGTCTGACTCTGCCCTTTGCAGTGGCAGTCATTTGTCCATTCTCATCTACGCTGAACTGGGCTACGACATTGTCCTGCAGAAACAGCCCCTCAGGATCTTTTTTTGCCATAGCATACCAGGTGCCACTGTACTGCAAGGAAATAAGAAAGGCTGCATGTAGACCTAGAACAATGGAAATATTACAACCAGACAGTACAGAATAGGGGAGGTGAAGAGGGAAGAGCATGCAGATCTTTGACACAATGCCTCAAAGGTGTACCTAAGAAGCAAATCTATCTGTTTCAACAGCATAAACCCATCAATACATGCTAGTGCAATCATAATTTGTTGAAATACTGACTTTTTTTGGATAAACTTACCTGTATCTGCAGCTGTCCAGTATAAGGAATATATTACAAAGCATATAACAAAGCATAAGTATAACAAAATTTAGTGGAAAAAGGAATAACAACTGGAAGATCTTGCCAGATCTATGTATATTTTTTTTCCTTGCAATGGTGTCTGAAAACACCAGAGTATTAATTTTTCATAGAAACAGCCAAGTCAGTACAGTCCTTCTGCTTATACCCTACAGTTTGAGACCAATCTGCTAAAACTCAGTTGCTGCAGTATTCCTTTATCAGGTGCATCAGGATCCAGCATCTGTGGAGGTGTGGACATCACAAACTTTAGCTGTTTTTCAGTATCACAGTCTGTGACTTCAAAATGTGACCACACTGGTGCTACTGAATGCCAAATTTTGTAGCCTGGAAAGAGCTATGCAAGACATCACAGATCCAGGAGAATAAAGAAGATTTACCCTGGTCTTGTCGAAGTTCTCCTTGACTTTGAAGCTGCTTACTCGGCAGTCCCGCTCTGCAGTGCTGCTGCCCATCAAGGCCAGTGACAGCAGCAGCAGCCAGGGCAGAGCTCTCTCTGTGTGGGCCATCCTGTCCCTGCAGCAAACAGAGAATAGCATCAGAAACAAGCTCTGCCACACAAGTGAAGGGAGGAAGGCTGCCCTGATAGGTCACCAGGGTCTCACACAGAGATGTGTGAGATGCTATGTGCAGGCAAGGCCCCTGCTTGTCCCCAGCCCACAGCAGCAGGGTCCCTTACAGACAGTGCTGGTCCTGGAGCCTCTTGAGAGCCCAAGTGTTGATGGTGGTGGCAGTGCCCAGGCAGGGAAAGCTTTATGTACTCCTGGGGCTTTCGCAACCCGCTGAGCCGCAGGGCCAGCACTGGGGAGGGCAGCGGGAGGCGGGCTGGTGGATGCTGCAGGCAGGGGCCCCTTCATTACGGCCTCTTGCGTAACACCTGTGGGCTCAGGTGGTCTTTGACCCTGCTCTGCAGCCAAGCCGGCGCTAGGAGCAAATGCCTCTCTTTGCTTTTCCCAACTCCAAAGCAGAGCTCACACCTGGGGGAAGGGGTGTGCACATGTGTGGGGAGAAAAATGGAATGAGAGGCATCCCACCTTTGCATGGGGGAGAGTGAACTGCCTCCACCTCCTCTGTGATTTTACACACTGCAGTCCAAAATCCATCTTACCCAATATGATCGACCCAGTTACAAGGTGCAGATTTGTTTCCTCCACCTCCTCCTCAAAGTCCTTTCCTCTTTTACCCTGATAAACAGTGGCAAACATAATACTTGCAAGTCTCTGCTCCTGTTTCTGAAAGCCTGGTTATGCCAGAACCTCTTCAGGTCCTCATGACTGGCTCCCTCTTGCTTCCAAAAGGCTCTCATGGCGAAATCATCTCCTGAGCAGCTCCCAGCAACAGGAACAGGGGCCCTGCAGATCCTCAGGATGGTGAAAGAGCCTTTTTATGTGGTACCAGAACCTAAGTGTGGCCTGCAAATATCCAAGTGCATGTACACACCACCTCTGGCCATTTTGACATGTGATTAACTTTAAATCAGATATTCCATAACTTCTGTTCTGTTTTTGGCAAACTGTTTTCAGTTATATAAACCATTAATTTCTCCTGTCCAGGCAAGTTTTGCTGCCTCTCAGTCAATATTTGTTCTCTAGTTTCAACATCTTTAGGAAGCATTAGAGAAAATCTGTTAATTATTTTCTAGGCATGTAACCAGAGCAGGATAGGAATGATTGTTACCAAGAGAACTAATTCACCTACCTTTTCACCTCCCATGTTTTTTTTAAAGAATAAAGGCAGAATCCTGTTATTTAAAAGGCTGGTATTCATTACGTAAAAAATCAAGCAAATATATAATTTTAATAAGGAGATACAAATGTAGTATGAAAATACCTCAATAGTAGCCGATGTACACCTTTAACCAATTTATTCTGCATGGCCTTTCCCAGAAGTTTACTTAATACTCCTTTCATATATTCATAAAAATTTTAGACTTCTTACTGTTGCTGTCCTTTAAAATCTCTTCACATCTATAATGCAAAGAATCTGATTGATTTATCTTCCTTTTCTGCTTTATGTTGGAGGCTTTTTGCACACTGCATATGTTCTGTTCACTTTCTTAAACAACTACTGCTCAGGGCTCTTCCATGTCTGCCTTCGATTTCCTAGATAACATCAGCCGCTAAAAATTCCACTATATTTAATATTAAGCTTCTATTCATAGTAAAGAACATATTTAACACAGGGAATTAGAAGGGTGTATGTGTATTAATTGTCCTGAAACTTTCAGTGGTAGCTTTGCAATAAGTCAACATTTCAATTTTTAAGTTGAGATTTTCAAATTTGCTAATTCCTACAAAGACTGAAGAGAAAAAGTAAGCTCTATTCTTCTGGTGACTTTCAGAATCTTGCTCTAGTCTGGCAATGGTGATACAGTGATACATACACATTTTTATAAAACCTTTACAAGACACTCCGTGGTCTTGATATATGAATTCATCATACAAACGAGACCAAAATCAACATGGATTTTCTTTGTTCACTGTCTCACATGACTTATGGAAATAAGATGGATTATAGCTTAATTCATAAGTTTTGAATCAATTATTTTATTTAATACCAAAGAAAACAATTATTTCTTTATTCTCTGCCAATTTGTGAAATATTATCATTTCTCTTAAGTTTGTTCTGTTCAAAAATCTGCATACTGCTTTATATTACCAGAGAGGTCCTTGCAGGATCAAATCTATTCCTATCAAGTTTTTCAATAGCATAATTTTCTATGAAGTTTTCAAAGGAGTCCACAGTCACTCACACACATATGTCAAAATCTGCTGAGATTTGACCACCTCTGAAAAGCTAGGTCAGTGTCCCTTTTATACATACTGCTGTTGTCAGAAGATTTACAGACAGGAAATTAAACCACATGTCAATTAAATAAAAATTTACTTCTGTTAATAAGTTTTAATAAGATCAGTTCTAAATGTGTGCAAGGGATTTTCCGGTCTCCTAAATTAATCTGATGCAATAAATCTGAATCAGAAGCATATAATTTTGTATAAGTCATGGCACAGCATTTCTTTAATTGTGTACCTCTACTGATCTCTGCACTATTTGGCAACTTATTTCTGGTTGAGCTGCCTGACACATTTAGTAATTAAAACTTCCACTTATTCAGGCCCTTGAGTTTGGGATCTCTACAAACTCTAGACAATGCCCAAGGAAAATCTTCCTTTGATGTGTTATCATTGGGAATCTGGGCAGTGCAGCTCCAGTGAAATCACCCCAGTATTTCCCAGTCAGATTTTGACAAGTGCAGAAGAGAAGCTGGGCAAGTCAGAATGCCGTGGAGGTCACACAGGGAGCTGGGCTCTCTGCCTTCTCTGCTTTAGCTGTACCTCCAATACTGCCTGCTGGAGACACAGCTTACATTGGTGAAGTCCTTTCAGGGTAACAGATGAAGCACTTCCTTGGTTCAGTGGGACAGAGATTTTAGGCAAAATGGCTGCTCTGTTGTTGGTTAAGTCTAGATCAGGATGTGCTGGGGGAGGAATGGAAGGTTTCTGGCAGATGAGCAGGGCTATGGCAATTCAAGGGTGAATTTTTCTTCAGTCCTAAGAGATGCCAGCAGAACTGTGTAAACTCATAAACAGTGTAAACTTTGCCTCAGTTAAATATCACTTGGATTGATTGGGCTCTGAGTTTGCTTGAGAAATTATGTCAGTGAGTGATCCTCATTCAAACCTAAATATTCACCTCTTAGATTTGTACTTCTCATGCAAACGGAAAGGAACTTGGGCCAGGATTTTGTATCTGAGAGGATTATGCATAGATCAAATCACTGATATCCAAGGATTTCTAGGTTCTGGGAAAGCTCAGACAATTATATTTAAGGGAATTATTAAAATTCAATAAATGATTTAAATATTGATAAGTTTCATACATGACTTCTGATACCTGAGGCTGGCAGCATATTATGAATATTACAGAGTTTTTTTTTAAAGTCACTTTATATTTTTTGGAACTATATTTAATGAAAGGGAAAGAAGGTCTTCTACCTTTGCATTTTTGCCAAGAGAACAGGAAAGGGGCTAACTTCTGTCAGTGATTCTGTGACTGGATTATTTTCTACATTAATAGCATGTAAAATTCTGCAATATTCTCAATTAGGTATAGCAAGGAAAAAATATGGAAGGAAATAGCTGGAAAAAACCTTTCATTATAGAAATTATTTTATCTTTATTTATGACTTTTAATAAAGGAAGAAACCAGTCAAATTACTATTTTAACATTTTAACACGGCACCTTTCAAGCTCTACATATTGAAATAACTAAAATTTTATTTTTGTTCCCAAGAATTAGTCAAGCTCTTAGGAGAAAGTTGACTCAAAAATTGCTAGTAGGAAACGGAACATCCATTTCCAGCCAGACTACAATAGATTGAAAGACTTTTTGCTGTGTTCTCTTGACTGTTTATTTACAGAATGCCATTCATAAACATGGGTATCCATTAAAGTCTCAGAGGCAGATTTGCAGGCAAATGAATGACCACTGTGTGCACAGAGCAGGGGATGCAAGTGCCCTGTGATACCAGACTTGTATCTATAACAAATGGCATGAGCTGTGCCAAGGAGCTTGGTACTTTGTAAGGGACAGCAGTGTGCACTGTCACCATCACAACTGCTCCTCTTGGTGGCAGTCTGAGTACAGAGGTCAAGGACAGAATGGAATGGAAGAGATTGCCCTTTGCTCCATGCCAGCCTGTGTACTACCTGTTCTTGTAACTTAATGACGCGACGTTTTGTTTAGGGAGTAAATTTACACTGAACTCTTTACAAATAGTATTTACTAACAGAACTAATTTAAAATGGTACCTCTATTTTCTTTAACAAGACTTTTTGAGGATTGTGATTCTGAATTGAAGCTTTTTCTGCCCATATCACTAAAATGGAAACAATATAAAACAAAGATCTAAAGTTCAGCAACAGGCTGGCCAGGCAGGTGAGAAGAGCTCTAAATTATAAATGATGGAAGACACAGACCTTATGTACTGAGTCCAGCAATGAACCACAAAGTTCACAAAGCAATAGGAGAATCTGACAAAAATAGAGGCTGAGAAAGCTGAGACTCTTCAGCCCAAAAAGGTTTGGGGGGGATCTTAACAACATACATACCTGACAGGAGGGCATGAAGAAGACTGTCAGATCCTTCTCAGCAGTGCTGAAAAACATTGTCAGTAGTAAAAACTTGTCAAGTTTTTACTTGACTTACAACCTAAGATCTCCAGGGAGTAAATGTGAGAATGGCTGACATTAAAAGGCTGCTGCCTTTTGCCTTAGTCTGTATACTAAAATTCATGCCAAACTATGAAGAAATCCATACTTTTGGTCAAAACTGCAGAGCATCTGGCAACCCTTCACACTAGACTGGCCATTTACTTCAGGAAATCTCCCCCAGAGTCTATAATCTCTGTTGATTACTAACTTCATGATCCCCCAGAGCTAATAATTGGTAGTTTTAAGAGAACATAAACGTTTGCAGCTCTATGGAAAAAGCAGTTAACTTACGATCTTCAGTGTTTATGTTTTTAAAATTATTTTTGTAAGAAAAGGGATAGAGAATTATTTTAAAAGAAACATGAAATTAAGGATGTTTATAAGGGTTCCCAGAACATACCAAGTCAGTGACACCAAAACATTTTAGTGCCAAAACCTGGCTGTGTTAGGATCACACAGTACCTGTTGTAAAAACCAACAGAATCAATTCTCACAATGTATTCATTTAGAAGAAAACCACAAACAACTCTGAATATTAATTTCTTGGATTATACATATGAATCTCCAATGTCTAGACAGCACCAAGATATTAACCACATCAAAAGTCATGCAATTGAAATAAGCATGCTTGATCTGTGTTTTTTCAGAAAATCTTAACTGAATAAACCACATTTACTGCTATAGGATGGGCAGAGACATTCAAATACAAACACTGAGCTGAACTGGGAAACCTTATAAATGCCTTTGACATTTACGTGCTGCTTGAATCTATTTAAATAACCATGTCTGTCAGTTATCCTTCTTAGGAGTTTCCATGTATCACAAGGGCTCAGGAATGGTCTACTACTAAGAACTACTCCATAAATAGTTCCATTTCTGTAGGTACTATGAACGTCAAAGGCAAATGATATCATATGTATTAAAATCACAAAGCAGACATATTTCTGAGAGTCTCTGAAATTAAATTAAGTTTAGATACAAATGTGAATTAGGTTTAATAAAAATAAAATGTTCAATACTGTGGAAAAAAAGAAGAGTAAAAGAGATAGAACAGAAAATAAATATCATATTCCAGCAGAGAAACTTTAAAATTCATTACAAAAATTTCAAAAGAACTTTTGTTGGTTTCTGATATTTCTTTCCATTTCATTTCACACTTGACAATTGCACAAGAGTGCAATTTTAAGAGTGTATCTAAATTAAGAAAAATGCAATAAGAATTTCTTTATGACATAAAAATTCTTATGGGACAGCCCAGAGACATCTGGAATATTTTATTACAAAGAAAATGTATCACCTTACAGTAGTACCAAATTATAAAATCATCTTCATTTGTTATCTCAAAGTACAAATAGTGTAGTTTATCCTTTGTAAAAAGAGATGAGCATGAGGAAGATTTCCTGAAAGCATGATAAGCATTTTAGGTGATTTGCACATAGAAATAAATGATAATAAAATTATACTAAATTTGTTAGTTTACAAAACTGTAAACCCCCCAACCTCCCAGCCCCCAAAGAAAATGGTATCACTTGGTCAGTCTGCCTGTATTCACTTGTTCTCCCTCCAGAGAGTGACATGCCACTCTGTTTCACTGAATTAATGTGATCACAATATAAAGAATTGATGTCTAAACTGATTTATCATGTGTGATAAAGATGAATGAGTAAGTCTCACATAGAAGTTAATTTTTTAGAATGTTTTAGCTGGGCATAAGACAGATCCTCTATAGGTGCCTTCTCCTTCAAAGAAACTACTATCTGGAATGTTCCAAAGTCAGTAAAAAAATATGACTGAACACATAATGCAAAAAAATGTTACAATTCCTTCACATGATTTCACTGAGGCTCTTCATCATCCTCTTCTTTTAAAGCACAGAATGAAAAGTAATGAGCTAGTAATTAGGAAGATGACAAGCACTAATTTAACTCTATGTAGTTACATATGAAATGATTTTCAAGTCTCTACTGCTTTTATATGTATTGATCAAATATTGAAACTACTAATATTGAATTTGAGTAAGAATAAATGTGCCTTTCTTCTGCTGTTTTCTTGTAAACTGTGTGTGTGTGTACAACAGTGAGAACACTGCTGTGTTGCCACAAGTTCCTATCACTGGGTCACCTGTCAAGAAGATGCTGCAAACTCACACACCCATCAGGGAGGGGCTTGTCCCCCAAGCTGCTGGGGGCAGCAACCCAGTCAGAGAAAAGGAGCCAGGCCAAATTGTGTTTCTAATGTGCTGATTTTCATATAGCTTTTAAAATCTGTAGAGCATCTGCAGTCTGGCAAAAAATTAGTTCCATACATAGTGTTTCATATGATGGTCAGAGGGAAAAGTAATGTTAGGTGTCATTGAGCATCTATCAATGACCTGTTCTCCGTGCTCGAGACTATCGGTGTCAGTTGCCCATGTTGATTCTTTGAGATCTGCTGATAAATACTAATGTTGACACACTGTGGCTTCTGGCAGACAGATGATGCACTTTGGTAATACTCTTTTCAAATTAAGAATGGCCAAAGGGTGTGTGCTTTATTTTCTTACACCAAGACTCTCTCATTGCTTTTGGTCTAGGTGGATGCCATAAACAGAAGTAAGATTAATTGTATTGCAGTCCTCCTCCTGTGCTGGAATTCAGATCTGTTTCAATGAACACAGACCATTTACTGTCATAGTTGGCACTTAAATTCAGCCTTCTCATGTAGCTTTGGAATGTTTGCTCCTCAAATTCAAGACATTTTCCACCATTCATTTTCCATTCATGTTCGTAATATTGAACTTCTAATGGCAGGAGACTTTAAACATGTATAACCATATATCTGTATCTATATAGATGCCTGGTTATCTATGGTATATCTGTGACCAGACTCAAGATTCCCTCTTTGTCTAATGTTTGTCAGTTATTATCCTTTTTGTGCTATTTCATAGAACAGACATCTCCAACTTTTTCTGAAGAAAGTGTAGATCTTGACTGGATATTTATGCTTACAGAATAAAAATTTTACTGTTTCCTCAGTTTGAATTTAATCAGTTTTCTGATTTTATTCTTTATTTTGCCTCTCTCTTTTTGAAGGAAAAAAAAAAGACTAAGCCATATCTGGCTGTGCTAAGTCACATTCTAATTCTTTTATTCCATCTTCACCTAGGTTAATCATTCGAGCACTTGAGCAAGTTCAGATTTCTGTAAGGTCTTAAGAATTTCACCCATTTTATTTATGTATAACTTCATAATTATTTGCTTTTAGTAATCCAATTTCTATCATCTCCTGACTATTTTAAGGAAAGCTAATTTCTGCCATTTAAAAGATTTCTCCATAACATTCTGTTTTCCTGCCCTTAAGTGCCTCCCACAAATACACGTGTGTACATCGGTGCACGTGTATAATGTGGGGTAAGAGTCTGGGTGGAATTTCTCATATGAAGTTTTAATAGGAACTTCTGTGTGCACAGTAGAGTATATATATGATGAATGAAGGAAATAACATACAGGTGCACATATCTACACATCAGACAATTTTATAAGAATTAATTGGTTAGTTTAAAATGCTAAAATGGCTCCCTGAGGATTTATGAGCTAAGAATGCTCAGGGGTTTAGTGTCCTGACATCTCTTTAATTAGCGGTCTCCAAGATCTCACACTAAGAAGATGCTAAGCCAGTGCCTTCTGTCATATCTGAAGAGCATCAGAAGGCTCGGAAGCCACAGAGGAAGATGAATGTATTATGTCTGTGAGCTATACAATATGTACAAAGTACATTTTTCTTACTAGTAACAGGTTAGGACTTCTTGCTGCCATTCCTGCTTTGATGGTGATGCAGTTCTAAAAGAAATCCTAAGAAAAATCCAGCAAAAATGGGTGAGGTAAATAAAGATGCTGTTGAAAAATACTTGGAGAACAATCCCCAGTTTGCCAAGGAATATTTCGACCGAAAAGTGAGACCTGAAGTGGTGGGAAGTATCTTTAACGTGAACCCTGGAGATGTGAAGGAAGGAGTCAGCTTCAAAGAAATGTCCCGTCTGGAGGAGAGTAACATAATTTTTGAGTTGGTATCAGAACTTCAGGATGAGGCATGTGTTATGGAAAAGATGGTGCACAAAGCCCTGCAGAGGCTGGCACAGCTGCTGGCAGCTGATCGGTGTAGTCTGTTCATTTGTCGCTCCCGAAATGGTACTCCAGAGGTAGCCTCCAGGATTCTTGATATCACTCCAACTTCCAACTATGAGCAGAATTTGGTGAAACCAGAAAATGAGACTGTTTTTCCTCTGGACATCGGGATAGTGGGATGGGTTGCTCATACCAAGAAGTTTTTTAATATACCTGATGTGACAAAGGTAAGTGAATTCTCTTGGGAATGGGGTTCTGCGCATTTGCTTCTTCCTGCCCAGGGTTTGAGGTTAAAAGTTGTTCTTCAGAAAAATCTGAGACAGAATTCCAGACCAATAACATGAGAAAAGCATCAGCAGAGATGGCTTAAAATCCAATAGAACCACATAATGTTGCCTAGTTAGGTGTTTTCAGTGTCCTTGTAGTAGTTGTAATGTCAATGACTATAATAATGGAGGAGAATATTAGATCAATAGAGACCGTTAAATACCTGAGTTTCTGCTGAACAAGGCAGGCTTGTATTCTGTTTTCCAGTATGGGTTTGCAAGTGTTCTCTGATATCATTTCATGCTGCCATACATGCATCTCTGAATAATTTAATTTGCAGCTTTTGTAATGAGGATGTATCCTTATTAGTAAGTGAATGAGGACAGAGGAAGATGATGTCAACATACATGTTCAGCTTCATGTCAGTGTTTAAAATGGGTTTGGTTTTGAGTATGTCTGGAACCAGGGCTTTTGTTCAAAACCATCTATAGAAGAAAATTATTGAGTCAGAGCTGTTCTGACATTTTTGAGGTTCCCGTTGAATCTGCGCTAAATCACCTTCTTTCTTTAAGGTGCTGATAAGAGTTTATTTATTACACTATTTATTTATTTTAAATTTTTTTATTATTATTTATTACAAATGTTAATTAAAATGGTGAGTGACCTAACAAAAGTGAAACATGCATGTGTGAGATCTGCTTTAGAAACTGCTCTGAAATACATGGGGACATGTAGTTCAAACATGCTTTGAATTTTAATATTTCCTTAAAAATAACTAACCTTGCATCAACAAATGCTGCCATCTTCATTTCTTTTTAGTCCTATGTTGAACATAATCAAATGGTGCTAAGATAATTATCAAGATGACAGTCTGGATTCGCAGTATTTCCTATACAGTCAATTTAAAATTCCAGAATATTTTAGAGATAGAAACCACTACTGTGTCCTAAGCTCCATGTAAATAATCAAAATATCTATACACTGCAATTAACTATGTTTTTCAGGAGGTAAACAAAAATTAATATCTTTTGTCATGCTAAAAGTTATAAAGGACTACTTTCACGGCTCAGAAACGAAAGTTTATATATAGGAAAATAACATTCCAATATACAGTAAACTGCTTCAGATGTAAGTAGGAATCACAGGGGCAAACAGAAGACTGACTGATTTGAGAAAACCATCAGTTCATTTTCAACTGACCACTAATATCCTTTCTTCAATGGCTGCTGTTCTGACAAGAAGTGTCTGATTTATTGCCTCTTACCACCACGTGGGGAGATTGGAGGATAATCCGTCCAAGTTCATAAGACTGATTACATGAGAAAAGATCAGGAGGATCAGGGAAGATGTGCCTCCTATCAGACACTGCACTGCTTCTTAATATCATTATGTCAGAGGTGCCCAGAGCAGGGCTAACCAAATATTTCTGGTTTTGCAATAGGATTTGTTCAAAGTTTTGTGACAAATGTGATTTATACATGCTTAAGAAAGAGAACTTTTCTGTTTTCTGTCCATCTAATCCTGCTAGGTGTTTTGTGCTCATTAATTCATGTCATCTGAGTATCTGTTATTATTCAATCATTCTAAGGTAATCTTTACTTAGGCACCCATTTACTCTCAGGATTACTGAGGTCTATGCCATTAGGCACACTTTTAAAAATGCAATTGAACTAGGGTCCCATTAATCTAAATTTGGTAACTAAACATCATTGGAATATTGACAGTTTATTACATTATTGCAAAACTCCCAGAGACTTCTCTGGAACCAAGGATTGATATTTAAAAACAGCCCTAAAGATCTTAAAAACATCAGGATTTTCCTTCTTTGTGTACAAAAAGTCAATGTCCAAGTTCACTCCTCACACAAGCAGATCTCCCAATTATGTCACCAGAATCTTTTTCTCCATAGCAAACCCAGAACTGCAGCTTGAGTCACTAATGTTTAAAGCCTATAAATAGCCCATGGCAGCAGAAATATGCAGCTACTGAAGTCTTTACCACATTTCAGAAAGGATTATTATTTTTCAGTTCACTACATATACAGTTCAGTCAAACAAGATTGTCTGCTACCCACATTATGAACAAAACATGACAGGAAGAGTTAAGCCAGAGAAGAAATTTTCCCCTAGTGCCTTGTCATAATACAAAATGCACAATGATTATTTCTAGTTGGCTTTAGTACTTTAAAAATGGTATTTCTATCCACTGTTTACTGTTGACACAGTCCATATCCAAACAACATAGTGTTTTTTAAGTCTTAAGTACATGACAACATTGACAAAGGCATGGTGTGACATTTTCATGCTTCAATCATTACCCCTTTATAACAAAAGTAAATGCAATAAAAGATCACAACAGCAATAAATCATTGAAAAATAAATTATTCCACTTTTAGTGCCTGGTAACCACTTCTTTAGGGATTATCTCCTTCTAACTGGAAAGGTACCAATAAACGTGAGGAAGCTCCTCATCCTGACTAATGCTCCAGAAAAGAAAAGCAGAGGGAAAGATACAGACCTTTGATAATTAACTTAGTAGTCAGTCTCCTCCCCACAAGATTATGTAGAAGTTGACTGTGAGAGCTAATAGTGTTTAATCCAGGATTTCATAGTCGTGAGAAACAGGAGGCCAGGCAGGACCATTACCCTAATAATTTGTCTCACATTATTCACAGTGTACAGCAGATTATGTGCCTCAAATATTGCAAAGTAAAATAATAGGCTTCAAAAAATTTGATATGTCCATTAATATTCTTTTAAAAGTAACTGATAACACAGACAACATTATAAAGGAGACTACAATTACCTTACATTTTTCTCCAAGGCATTATTTCCAAATAAAACTAAGAACTAAAAAATACTTCTACAAGGAGTATGTATTTTTTGGGGAATCAAAATCTCACATTCTCAGCTTGTAAGAATCAATAATAAAGACTTTATATATTTGCTTTAATCCATAACCTATTTAAATTATTGCACTGCTCCTTTCAGTTCAAAGGTATTTGAAAACAAGGATTTAATTAAGGACTGGAAACTCAAGAAATAATATTATTTGTTTTAGTTGAGTATAAAATTATAAAAATGGTGGGAAAATGCTTCAAAGGAAGTGAAGGCTTTTGGATTAGATCTATAAAGGAGCTGAAATATTTTGATGCTGAAGTAACTAGTCCTCATTTTTAGAGGTCTTGCACTGAAATTCACAACCCCCAGTGAAGTGAAGAAACAAGAGACCATGGGAGATTCCAACTCAGATTAAGCAGCCAGAAGAGTGATTGTTGTGGCACCTAATTTAACCACTGGAAACCCATGGTACAAATCAACTTAAACACATCTTCAAGTTGCAAGCACTGGTATCATCCCTTTGTAAGCTGATCCAGCTTCAGAACAGCAGCTCTACACTTTAACCCAAGAGCGGGAGAGACTTTAATTCCAGGCCTGTCTAAACTGACAGGGGTTTCAGATTAATGTGGATGTTCTGGTCCCCAGACTCCAGCCTGTCTGAGGTAGTTTTTTGCATGGGAAGAATATGCACTCTAAATGTTAATGTCTGGTCCTCCATTTTATCTTACCTTGATAATAAACACTAGATTGCCAGAAACTCATGCTCAACAAATATTAACTGGAAAAATGGAAACACATTCCAATCTTCTATTATGGCAAAGATTTAGTCAATTTACCAGAATATTTTAATACAGGAATGCATTCCTATTCATTGTGCCTTCCAGAAAAAAAACCCACCAATTCTTTATTTACTATTCTAAAATTTCCAAAAAGTGCATTAAAAATGAAAATTAAAAGCTCCCTTTTACCTAATTTTCTTGCTTCATGTGAAAAAAGCAATTAATATAATACAAATCCAATTTCAAGAAGTCGCAAAATAGTCAATACATATGGCAAATAACAAGCTGGCATTTCAGGGACATAACTCTAGTCATGTTGGTAATAACAAAGTCAATTTGTTCTGTAATGCTAGTGAGTTACATCTTAAAATAAAACTGACATCCCTGGCAATACGTAATTTTTGGAGCGTGGCCTAAGAAAGGGCCAGGTATATGACTAGTATGTGTTTTTTATTTTCTATTTATACTCAATTATATCATTATGAAACAAAAACATTTGTGAGTTGAAATTAGGCTGAGTAGAAGTAAGAGATGAAACATTATCAACATTATTACCACCTATTAAGTGGTTAAAATTTTGAGAAATTTGAGCCAATGCAAGACAATCAGTGGAAGAACAAATGATCAGTAAGAGAAGAAAATACTGTAGAACTACCAGAAAGAAAACCAGAAACATGTGGAGATGATGCAAAGAACTATGTGCAGTCTGAGCTTATCTATCCAAACCAGAACCTCCCATCCAATAGGAGCAAAATAGTCATAACTGCAAAGGGTCACCGTAACCCCTTCTTCCTCTGTGCTTTACAAGGGGAAAGAGGTGGAGGAGAACAGGCATCTGCTGTCTTGGCCCTATCTCCTCACCTGCAGGATTAAATCTTACCCCTTGTGCATTGGATCATTTCAACTGCAGGCAGCAATGCAGGGAGGAGTGGCTGAAAAGCTGCTGGGCAGAAAAGGACCTGGGGGTGCTGATCAACAGCTGATGAACAGGAGCCAGCAGTGCCCAGCTGGGCAAGAAGGCCAAGGGCATCCTGGCTGGGATCAGAAACAGTGTGGCCAGCAGGACTGGGGCAGAGATTGCTGCCCTGTACCAAGCACTGGGGAGGCTACACATTGAATCCTGTGCCCAGCTGTGGGCACCTCCTTACAAGAAACATATTGAGGTGCTGGAGCATCTCCAGAGCAGGGTGACAAAGCTGAAGGAGGATCTGGAACACGAGTCCTGTGAGGAATGGCTGAAGTAGCTGGGGGTGTTGAGCCTGGAGAAAAGCAGGCTTAGAGGGGCCTTATCAATGTCTACAAATCCCTGAAAGGTGGGGGTCAGCCTCTTCTCCCAACTAACAAATAATAGGATAACAGGAAGTGAACTCAAGTTGTGCCAGGAGATGTTCAGATTGGATATTAGGAAACATTCCTCCATCAAAAGGGTTGTGCTAGCTGGTTGTGCTAGCTAGACTCTGGTGCTGGCTTTGCAAATCCAGGATATGTTGCACATCTCAGGGCCTATTTAAAGAACTGATCATTGTATAGTAAATGGCTAGGAATGTCAACATTAAATGGAGCTAGCAGGAAATGTCTGCAAATGTACTACAGTTAGGGAGTTAGCAGCAGATTTCTTTTCCATAATTTCTCTTTTAAAGCCTACTTTGTGATTTAACTGAGAGCTGAAAGTTCAAAACATTATTCTAAAAGATAGTTTGATTCATAAGATCAGGCTCAAGTAGACTAAGTGTCCACATTCATGTAGTAATGGAAGCACCAAGATGATGTTCTGGCTCTGGTTCTGCAGACCACATTTCTTGATTATTCGTCTATGAATATGATTCCTTAGATATTGTGAAAAGTGATTTTCTTTGGAAAAAAGAAGGCGCTTATGCTCCCAAGAGAAAATGTTTTTACAACTCTGTTGGAAATAAAGGCTTCAAAACTCCTAGAGATTATGTTTAAAATATTCAATAATGAAAAGCCTAAATCTAAGCACAATGTTTTGCTTGTATGTGCAAATCATGTGAGACAGGAGTCTTTGTACGTGCTGTGGGAATGCTGCCAATTCATTAGAAGGTATTTTTATCTTTCTGCTTCACACTATCTAGGCACAGGATGGCTTGTGGTTACTAAACTTTCTATTTATTAACAGAGACTTGTATTAAAATGTTTCTATCCTTTGCAAAAATTGCATGACCAAAGTGCTTCTTCTGAACACTTCTGATCACCACTGCTTGTACCTTCATTCTGGCATTATTAAACAAAGTAAATGATTCAGCTGATTTAGTGTCTACAGATCCCTTTTAAGTGTTCAGAAATCCAGGAGTGTCTGAGGTGTTTATTTATTCCTTTACAGCAGAATACAGTACCCTACACCCAAGAACCTGGGCCTCACCAGGAATGCTAGATGCTCTTAGTGACACAGAGGGACTTCAAAACAGGGTCAAGTTACCTGTCTAATTTACTGGGTTTTCAATGGCTAAAACAGTCAGAAATGCAAAACCCAAAGCTCAACACCACACCCAAGTCCAGAGTGGTTGTGTCGGTAGATAACACATCCCACAGAAACCCGAATATTTCCATGGAATAACATACTTGTTTAGCAGGCTGCAGGACAGTATTTGATTCTCACACAGAAGAGACAGATTGCCTGGCATTTTCTTTGGATATCTGTTACAGGAGATGTTCCTATGCCTTTCTCTGAGAAAAACAGAAAATAACAACTCAGGCAGTTTGTTGGAAACAGAGAAAGCATCCCATTTTCACATGGACAATATATTCAAAAGTGGCTACACTTTCCAGGGACCTAAATAGAGCCTGATACATTGAATGAGATTTATGGGGATGGCACAGACTGTCATTAAGAGAATCAATTCTCTACAAGACAGCCCAGGGCATAAATACAATATTTAAAAGTTACTTCCAGACATTTAATTTGTTTCACTGAAATGCAGCCCTAGAAGGAAATATAAAATGCAAACATAAAAGATGGACTGCCTAAAGACTATGAAAAACAAGGAAAAAGCCCAAACCCTAATATTTTGATGACATAATAAAATTCTGTCTTTCTTGTTAGAGTTGTATATGCTATAAATTCAAACTATACTAGAAAAAATTGCTAGAGGGAAAAGGGGCAAAAGAAAATTGAGAGGAAAAATCTAAATAATAAACAAACAATTTTAGTTCTGCCATTTCTAAGCATTGTCATGCTTGATTTATAACCTAGAAAACGCTTATTTGTTTGGGGTTTTCTTTAAGAAGCTTTATGTATACTCTATGAAAGCTGAAGTTCCATGATGTGGCATCCTGCAACAGTCTCCAGCCTGTCAGCAAGGAAGACACCTTGGGATGCACCACGCAGATGTCAGCTGCCTAAGCTAAGGCAATAATGAATAGCAGCAGTGTTTGCAGCTCTGGGCATTGACATGCAGTATAAGTGAGCTGAGTGCTCATCTCTGGAGAAGTTTGAGCACTGACATGTTAGCAGTGAAATCTGAGGGGATGGAAAAGGCTCTGTGAAGACAGAGTCTTGCTATTTTAGCTGCTTAGTAGAACCATGGCACTTCTCAGTATGCACATCTCAACAGATTTCAAACCTCCAACTCATAACTTACCTCATTCAGATGTATTTTCTTAATAACATAACAAAACATAACAACCCTTGACAAACAGATTTCCCTGAAAATGTTTGAATCCCTTTTGCATTAAATTAAAGAGAACACTAAAGCCTTTGAAGAAAACACCAAGAATTTCTTGGATATGAGGAAATAAATATATGAGTTAATATATGAAATAAATAATATGAGTTATACATGAAGCATGAACTAGCTTCTCAATATTTTTACATTAAAAAAATTAAAATAATAGCTTTTGCAAAACCCTCCACAGCATTTGGTTTTGAGGATGAAAATGTAAATATGGAGTACTGAGTTGTGGATCATTCATTAGTCACATGGCCTTATTCCCACAGGATCACACACTCAACAAAAGCAGCTCTGGTCCTATATCCTATACCTATATCCTCTGCTTTCACCAAAGAGCCTGTAGAGCTGGGAGCAACAGGGATGGGAGTGTGTCAGACAGGAAGGAATAAGAAACAGGTCAGCCAGGGGAATACCTGCTGGACATGCTTCTCTGCCATAAGTATTTTATACAGGACAGAAGGTACTTTTAAATATTGTGTGAGGGAAATGCATAATGAATTTTATTTACTGAAATAATAAAATGATAATAAAGATTAACACAGCTATGAAGTAATTCTCTAAAATGCAAACCATATAGATTAGATTACCAGGTAGAGACAAGATCATGCATTTCCCATATTTTTAATTCCTCAGCATTATAATAAAGACCTGCACAAAACTTGGTTTCAGAGGCTACCTTCATAACCAATGCTTCAGTTAAGCTTGTACATATAACTCTGCAAGATCCAGTTAAGTAGTCATAGTGGGTTTTTCCAAGTATAAACCTGCTGCACTGTGAAACAGTGCTCACAGCATTGCAAACATCAGTTACCAAATAAAATTATCATTTACTCTTGGCATGGTAATTGTTCTGCATTTAACTTGTGATTTTTTTCCCTTTTTTTTCAGAACAACCATTTTTCTGACTTCATGGACAAAAAAACTGGTTATAAAACAGTCAATATGTTGGCAACAGCAATTACACAGGGTAAAGAGGTGCTTGCTGTTGTGATGGCACTCAACAAATTAAATGCCCCTGAGTTCTCAAAAGAGGATGAAGAGGTAAAATGTCACACAATAACACTCAAACAAGTAGTTTGAGTGACTCTATATCTTAATGTAATACTTTTGTTTAATTTTGATCTTTGTCATTTTTAGGTATTTAAAAAATACCTCAACTTTATATCTTTGATGATAAGAAATAACCATACGTCGTATCTCCACAATATTGAATCACGAAAAAGCCAGGTATAGAAGCATTTTTAAATAAAAATAGTTCATTTTTCTCTGAAACAATTATCATTCCCACTATTTTATAAACTTGCAATCTTATTGAAGTAAGGATACAATCTATTTATTCTTTTTAAAATTTATTAACAGTGATGCACTTTATAATTTCATTCTGGAATGCCTAGGATTCATATGTTTATGTTTTCTTACTGTTCTGAACATTATCCTCCTTCTCTTTTGTTGTAAATAGATGCTTTTGTGGTCTGCCAACAAAGTATTTGAAGAGCTAACAGATATAGAACGACAGTTTCATAAAGCACTGTATACTATTCGAATGTATTTGAATTGTGAAAGATACTCTGTTGGTCTTCTGGACATGACTAAAGAGAAGGTAAAAACTATTTTTCCTCCTTGCTACAAACTCCTAACGTGAAGTCTCCAAGACACAAAGTTCCCATGCTTTCTAACTTTGGGGGATAATTTATTTAAAACCTAACAATGTTACAAATATTACATGCAAAATATAAATATGGCAAAGGATACAACCAAAATAAACATAAACGCCAATTATGAAATAATTTTTCATATTCATCATTCCATGCAAGAAAGGGTGGAGGTGCAGGTCTGATTATTGCTTTAGAAACATCTACCTGCTAAAAGAACAATTAAGCTGTGCAACTATTTAGGGATAAGATTAGCCTGCAATTTGCTGGTAAACATTTCTTGTCTGGAATATAATTACCAATGTTTTCTTAATACTATCTGAAATATGACCATTGTAAACTAAGTAGAAATAAAAATCAAACTGTATTACACAGATGTGATGTTATCTATGAACCCAGAACTGATTTGTTTTTTCCTTTTTCCCTGTGATTCATTTTCTCAGGAGTTCTATGACGAGTGGCCAATCCGGCTGGGGGAGGCAGAGCCTTACAAAGGCCCCAAGACACCTGATGGACGAGTGAGGATATTAATTTTTCTTTTTATGAATCTCAAGTTTGATACTGAAGTTCTACAAGTCACCTAGATGTTTTTATATTTTTATTTAGGAAGTCAACTTTTATAAGATTATTGACTATCTGTTACATGGACAAGAAGAAATCAAAGTCATTCCGTGAGTATTCACTGGCAGATGATGAATGTGTAGTAATTAGACATTGCTGGGACAGAATAGAATGTCTACATTGTAGAAATAAATTAATTTCATTGTCTCTCAAAAGGTCACCTCCAGCAGATCACTGGTGTCTTGTCAGTGGATTGCCAACATATGTGGCTGAAAATGGTCTTGTAAGTTCATAGCAAAACTAAAAACTAGCATTTTAAATCATGCAGTTGTTCTGACTGAACAAAACACCCTGCAAACCTCCCCATGACCAAAATCCTCTACAAAAATACCATGATGCTTCCAGTGAAATAATTTGAATCAGTATTTGGATGGAGGCAAAGCATCAGCACAAAAGGTGAAAACAGCAGGATAATTTCCCTCAGATTGTGATGATATCAGAGGAATAATATGTGTGTCTGATGCCACTTTCGTGGTGTGCTAAATGTCACAAAAAATGTCAAAGCAAGAAAATCATCACATGCAAGTTTTAAATTTTTCCTAATTTCCTTTATCTTCTTGCATAGACATACGTAATTCAAAGTCAGGATGTATGACAGCTATGGGTAACCCTGTAGCATTTTTAGAGCTATAGGGTTACCCATAGCTGTCATACATCCATTAGAGCCCTTAGTACTCATTTATTTCTAGAAACCCCCAAGCCATTTTAAACTGGAAGTGATTTTCTTAAGCATTATGCTTTTGCACTCTGAGACACTGAGGGACTTTGCTACAAATGTTCCAAAATTATGTCTGTTAGATTAACCACATCTAATTTAAGAGGAACGGTTTTAGTTTCTGTAGCTAGCTAGGATGCTTACTATTGCTAGCTTAGAAAATAGATATTCCTTTAAAAGTTATTAGATCAGGTTTTGATGAACATTATATTCCATTTCAACAATGTGTCATTTTCTTTATGCTGTAGATTTGTAACATGATGAATGCCCCAGCAGATGAATACTTCACATTTCAGGTAAATTCAGTAATGTTAATAATTACAAATTTTGTAGAAAAATATTCTAGTGCTTGTCATTAATAGGTTATACAGGTAATTGTATAAATAATTTCTCATTTGATTTTGATGCACAAAAAAATTTTTTTGTTACATTGCTTATGTCCATAGCTGTATTATAACTTTCAAAGAAATACACATTTCCTGGTTTTTGGTTTTCCTACAGAAAGGACCAGTGGATGAATCAGGATGGGTTATCAAAAACGTCTTGTCATTGCCTATTGTCAACAAAAAAGAAGAAATTGTGGGAGTTGCAACGTTTTACAACAGGAAAGATGGAAAACCTTTTGACGAATATGATGAACAGATCACTGAAGTAAGCTTAATAGGATTAAAAGTTTTGAGGAGATATATGATGTTAAAAAAATATTGCGGTAAAAAGTCATTTTTATATGTCAAAAATTTTTCAAGTAGGCCATATTAACACCTAGCCAATTGTCTATCTTCCTCACTATGCAGTTTCTTAAGAATCTAAGATTTTATCTCGCTTTCTAAAACTGAAAATTTTTAAGTGATCATTTACATTCCAGCAATAAACAAAAGTTGCTTGTAATTTTACTTTTAATCCTTTGACTTTTTAATGATGGTCAGCATGTCCTAAGTAGCAGTGGGTAAGCAGGTAGGGTGTGCTGCTTGCCAATGGATGCCAAGCCTGTGACCATGGGAGTTCACAGAGCGTTCATAATCGCATGCACTCAGGCAAGGTAAGATGCTACACAGTGTACGCAAGTCCACCCACTTGACTTAAGCTTCATAAGCCTCAAAGACCTGTATATAAAATGGGAATATTAATTAGTTAATGAGCCAAATGTCATTAGAAGCTGTGAGTGCGAAGAGAACTGGCTGAAGGAAGATAAAGGCCTCTAACGAGTAGAGTGGCACCTTGCTTTTCAAAGGGCACTAACAGAAATGGGACTTTAAGAAAGCTAAGTTCAAATTTTCAGGTTGATTCTGTTGTCATGACATCATCTCTGCTTTACTTGGCTTTGTTGCAGACTCTCACACAGTTCCTGGGGTGGTCTGTTTTAAATACTGACACTTATGACAAAATGAACAAACTTGAAAACAGGAAAGACATTGCTCAGGAAATGCTTATGTACCAGACAAAGGCCACCCCTGCTGAAGTTGAATCTATCCTGGTAAGTTTCTGTCCACGGCCACAAAATTAAAACAGGAAACTTACTACACAAAACCTGAATTCTCTTACTCTTTTTCATTTTTAGAAATACAAGGAGAAATTGAATGCAAAAAGTTTAGACGAATGCGATCAAAAGGATCTCATCAGGATTTTGGTAAGTCGTTAAACTGAAAAGTCAGGGGGTGTATTTATATCAGAGAGTAACGTGTCCTCATCATAGAAAAGGTTGTGTATGGTGAAATCCTGATGAATACAATCAATGTTAGCTATCAGGCTAGATGGAGTTGATTTAGCAACACATCTTCACCCTCTTCTCTCCTTCTTTGTGCAGACCCCACTGCTACGCACAGGAAGGGAAGCATTCTGTCACAAATGTACATTAAGACACTTGGACAGTCACAGTTACATAGACATTTTTATATTAATTAAGATCTAAATTGTTACATTTCTCAAAATATTCATAGGGAAAATGCTGTGTCTATAACTGAATTTAATTTATTTAATTCTGAAAATAAAAGAAAGGGATATTGTGGTGAGGCTACTTGCATTGTAGGTAAGAGAACGGAGGTAGCAGTGTCCAGTGGAACAAACTTACTTTCAGATTATTTTTTCCCACATTTCTGTAGCACAGAAGTCTAAAGACAGTGACCTGTGACTCCACAGTGACAAAACAGATTTGACCTAATGAGTTCTCTGCTCTATTACTCTGCTACTACTAAACCAAAAATGAGTTTATAGTGCAGTCCTCTGGCTGCCTTAGTATTTCAATCTAGAAAGGCATTGTCTTTGGGAAAAAAATCCTATATTTGCCCATTTAGTGCACTTCAACAGTCCTGGAGCACATGAATTTCCCTACTTTATCAGAAAAAATCTCAAATTCAGAGCAAAGACGTGCTCTGAATGAAAACACTGAATGAACTTCCACTGTTAATGGATCAAAACAGCTAGATTGAAGAAAAAAAGGTCAAAATACACACAAATCTGTTGACTTCCAGTACCAACCACTTCACTTGTTTCCTCCTATTATACCACATTTGCTAATGTACACATAGCCATAGGGAAAAGATCTCATGAAACTCTTTTTAGTTATGTATACATGCATGCTGGAATGCATTGATGTTAATGTTTTACGGGCTTCCACACAACAGATGCTCACACAGCTTGCAAGGGGTGAAAAAAAACCATCAACAGACAGTGTGTAGCTTCACATGCCTTTTAAAGGAAATTTAATTTAGCAGCATGAAAATCTTCAAAAAATAATAGACATTACAAGATTTTTCCATGGGTGGAGCAAAATCTGATTATTCTGATATAGGCTCTAAATTTAAAAACATAATACTGGTATGAATTTTTTAACCTACAAAAACCAATTTGTTCTTTCAACATTGTGGAGTCACAAATTCAAAAGTCTAATATCTTCTGCACTGCCAAGGCTACATGCTTTATCCTATTATAAGACCTGGAATCCCAGATAACTAATAGGATAAAGCAGGTGTTTCTAGATCTGATGATTCACCAAGTAATGGGTCTTAAAACAACACTGGTCTAGGTTTCTTTGTCCTTGATCGCAGATCTGCGTAGATATAAAGGAAAAACCCAGGGAGAAGGAAAGGGATTATCAGCCTTATTTGTTGAAATATTTGCATGCATTCAATTGTATTTTTTCTTTATAAAGTGAAGATCCTTTATAGACTACTGAGGCGGGAGTAATTGTGATAATATAAGCTATTTTTGTGCTGCATCAGACTTCCTTGAAGAATTCTTGTTTGGACTGGAACACACTCTATAAAATCAGATGCTGCTCTCCCTAGGCTTTGAGAGAGATGAAGAGTGTTAGACAATAGTTCACTATTAGTACTATTACCAGTTAGGCTATTCAGTGGGACTCTGTATCATATATACAAAATAGGCAATTTAATTTGGCTGAGAAAAAGATGAATGCAGCCTTGAGATCAGGCGAAAAGTGGGAGAATCACGGGATTTTATACCCGTGAGGGAAAAGAATTACCAAGGACCAAGATTTCTAAACTAAGGAAATGTTGAGAAGGTTACAATGCATTTTGTTGGAATTCAGAGTAGGAATTGCCCAAGGCTTTTATCTACTAATTTTGAGAAGAAAGCCAGCAGTATCATGATTGTATTTCATAATTTAATACACATTAGTTCATACTGACACCTGACGCCTTTGAAGACGTAATAATAGTGTCCTTGAACAGTATTTCTACTGAAGAAAATTAAAAAAGCTTTTCCATCTTTGTTCTTGACAGAAAACCCCTTGTTTTTGTTATTTCCTAATAGAAAGAAGAATTACCTGATCCAAAAGATTTAGAACTGTATGAATTCCGCTTCAGTGACTTCCCTGTTACAGAGCATGGCCTGATAACTTGTGGAATACGACTGTTCTTTGAGATAAATGTTGTTGAAAAATTCAAAGTCCCAGCTGAGGTCTGGTTTATTTTTCTTGTTTATATTTATTTTTAAATAGAAGAAAAATATCTGGTGTTACATACTTTAATCTAGAAGTAGGCAATACTAAAATATTAATGGTATGTTTAGCAATATTCCATTCTCAATGAAACATTTACATAATTATCAGAAAAACATCAAATTAATCCTGAATTGTGTAAGATAGGTAAGGAATTAAATCCACATGCATTTATGTAAGAAAAATTTGCTGTTTCTATGTTTAATTCAATGAAAAACATTTGTTTTCAAAGAACTTGGAGAATTTAAAAATTCATTGTATATTCTAGAATTTCATAGTATATTCTAGTTATTTAATGGGAGTTCCTTGGTTCTGTTTCAATTAATAGCTGTTTGTTCCCTTTTGTTCCCAACAGGTCCTTACAAGATGGATGTACACGGTCAGGAAAGGTTATCGGGATATCACTTACCATAACTGGAGACATGGATTCAATGTGGGACAAACAATGTTTACTCTGCTGATGGTAATGTTGCTAATATTAACCCCAAATTCATTAACTAGTATTCTTTCAACTCCAGATGGAAAATTCAGGAAGACACACACTCAGAGTTATCTGTTTTCTTTTACAGACAGGAAAAATAAAGAAATACTATACTGATTTAGAAGCCTTTGCCATGGTTGCTGCTGCTTTCTGCCACGACATTGATCACAGAGGGACCAATAACCTGTATCAAATGAAGTAAGTATAAGTATCAAATATATGGAAACGTACTCCCTTTAGTGGAAAACAAATTTTAAAATGTCAAAACTTGCAAAAATATAAGGTATCTATTCCAAACTCATCTGGCATGAATAATTATGCTACAGAAGATTTCTGCCCCTGAGCACTTCAGGCAGAAACACAAAGACAAAATGCAAAGGCAGAATCTCAGAAGGATCTCCTGCAGCTGCAATCCATTTTTAAGACTCTAACTTTTTAAAACTCTAGCAATGCTTGGATTGTGGCAGACAGAGCCTCATGTGCAAGAGGACACAAAGAAATTAGTAAAGTAAATTAAAATCTGTAATTGGATTACTTTTTCAAGACAGGGCACAAGCACTTTTCTGGAAAGTGATTCAAGACGTGATATAGACAAGGACCAGTCTTTTTTTTGCTGTTTTCCACTGAAAACTGCTGTTTTCAATTTTTTGCTGTTTTCCACTGTCTAATTTGACTAGTTCAGTTGTTCTTCCCCACACTCAGTTTCCTGATATAGGTCCTTTCCTGAGATGTAATCTCCTATGTTATACAAAAGTCTGAGTCAACAAGCTTGAGTTCTACTGCTGGGTCCACAGGCCCAGAAGTTAACACATCATGAGGTTCAAGCTTTGCAATTCATGCTGTAATATGTCCTGAGAAAACAGTCTAAAGGATTTCTTTGTGATTTTTACCTGGTTTTTTATGAAAAAAAATTAATTAATATAAATTTTCCCTTGTATTAAAACATTATGTATCATGGTGGGACCCACTCTTCTCCTGAGGAATGAACAACCTACCATTTAGTATTTTATGTAATCTGTGTGGGCTTGTTTCCATGTGCTAGCCAGAGAACACATTTCTTAGAATGTCATGTGTATCAGAAGATTACCATTTTCTGGCTAGTTTCCACCAACCCTATCTCCAGAGTGATTGATCCTACACCCTTCTGACCCTGAATCCACTGCTCACATTTCAGCCTTTTCAGCCCGTGTGCTAGAGCAGTGACGCAAAGGGATTTTCTGATTATTCCCAGGGATTCTCCAGGTGACGTAGGAAAGAGAATGACCGATCCTGATTCTTGTTCAATGGACTGCCTCTGATCCAAACAAGTTTAAAGAGGGTTGTGATCTTTCCACTGTGGTCTTCCCTAGATGAAAGCCCTCTACATGAGGTCATACGCAGTAAAGCTATTTATAGAGCTCATCAGGCTTTACCACAACAGTCCTAATCACAGGAGCAAATAGGGGTGCCATATAGCAATCCACCTTGGGTTATCTGGGTGGGAAACAGAGCTATAAACCAAGGGAAAAAGGAGGAAAATACACTTCCAAACACATAGAACTACCTGGAGCCCATGTAAGTAGGATGCTTCTCCCTTCATCTCATAACCATAATCTGATGCAGAATTTCCTCTTCTTGAAGCTTAGTCCAACATCAGGGGAACGCTTTTAAGACCTGTGGTAAAACAGAACAAACCTGAGCTATCAGGACTTTTGCTGCCCATAAAAAGGCAATTTTGGGGAAGTGAAGTAGCCCCAAGAGCATTAGAGGAATTAAACTCCATTATATTGCGTGGTGCAAAACCAGCACATTCTGTTACTTCAGATTTAAGCTACAGTTGACTAGAATCCCAGGGCACACAGCCCAGTCGTTACAGATGTACAAGCCATGCCGCAGAATAAACACTAAAAGATGGATAAAGGCTACTTTTAAGGTACCTAAAAGGAGCGTAGATTAAACAAACAGCAAAACTGAACAGGCAGGACAAAATGAAGCCATATTTAAAATACCAAAGTTTTTGAGTTTTGAGGCATCTAACAATGACTTTGACTTTAGTGGCACTGACACCCAGTGCTCTCCAAGTTCCATCATTACTCAGTTACAAAAATGAAGGGAAGCAAGTTGGGGTTTTTTCTCTGCATCATACCAATAGGCAATTTATACAGATTACACTATCATACCAATAATATGAAACCTGAATAAAAACTATTGCCTTCAAATTATATTTATACATATTATACTCTAAATAATTTCTTATTTTTCCACAGGTCAGCTGCTCCCCTGGCAAAACTTCATGGCTCTTCCATTTTGGAAAGGCATCACCTAGAGTACAGTAAAACCCTGCTGCAAGATGAGGTACGTCATGGACCTTCTGCTCACACCAGTCAACACTGAAGATCCAATTAAGTTACAATGTTCCAAATTTCACTGGGTCTTATGCATTTCTCTAGGTCCACATAAGAAATGCTAAAATTCAGAAGTTTAAGAAAAATTCTTATGCATTTTCCACTTTTAGAGAGACATCAGTGATTCTGTCCTGGAACAGATTCACCTCAGATAGAAAAGCTTCTCCTCTGGGCCTCGCTCACACTCTTCAGGTTTCTTTCTGTTTGCACAAAACAGCTGGTATTGAAACCAACGCAGGAAATGTAATATATATATATATATATATATATATATGTATATATAAATCTTGTCATTAAGCGGCTGTGCCTGGTTTATGAGGTCTGAATTCAGCTGCAGGCTCTGGCAGCTGAGGAACAAAGATGTCCATGGAGAGGCCCCTTGCCCTCAGGCCAAGACCCGCCCCAAGCCTTCGTGGTTAACAGGGCCGGGAATGGCAGGCTCTGCCGCAGCTCCATTCCCGATGTTCCTGCATGGGCAGCCCTCCCCAGCTGCCCATCCAGGCTTAGCTGCCCCTCAGGGTTAACAGGGCCGGGAATGGCAGGCTCTGCCGCAGCTCCATTCCCGATGGTCCTGCATGGGCAGCCCTCCCCAGCTGCCCTCCCCAGCAGTGGGGGGACGCTCCCGCCGCACCCCCACGCTCAGCTGCCCCTCCGGGCCTGGCTCCTCCACTGGGCACCGGCCACCCTGCCCTCAGCAGCATCAGGCTCTGCCCGGCTGCTGCAAAACACACTATTTACACTCTCTGCCATGTATTTTGGAGGGTGTTTTAGCAGCAGGGCATGCACATATGCACCCCTTCCATCCCTTGTTAGCAGCAGAAGGGCAGGCACCCACTTCACCCTCATTTTCCACTTCTAATCCCTGCGGTGATGCTGTTGCCTGACCTCATGAGGCCACGGAATAAATCCTTACACTCAGCAGTAGTGCTATGTTAATAAAAAACCTAGAAGGTTTATGATATGAAAACAAACCTTTCCCTTTATTGATGGCAGTATACTTTGTCAAATGTGAGATGCCAGGGCCGGACTCCTGCTCTCGGGCAGAGCAGTTGGCAGGACCTCTGGAGGCTCTCACCAGCATCACTGTGCCCTGGATCATGCAGGCCTTGTGTCTCTGTTAAAGAAGGAAATAAAACCAAGACACTTAGAAAAATGCTGTATGATGGTCTCATTCCCTTTGCCTGAGGAAAAGGACATTGCACGTACCGTGGTAGATCCCACACACTGCTGCAGGCAACTGTGCCAACCCAGTTTAACAGGAAGAAAAGGGGAACTGGGAAGCTTTAAAAAAGTCAGGAAAATTAGGTTAATGGAATGTGAATTTTTAATTTTAACACTATTTTAATTTAAGGACTGTAGTCCACCAATTTTGTTACCCTATTTGAGACAATCTGTATAGTACAAACCAAAGACAGTGTTATAAAAGGAATTGAAATCCTAAACTTTCCACCTTGCAGAGCTTAAACATCTTCCAGAACCTAAATAAGCGCCAGTATGAAACCGTTCTGCACTTATTTGAAGTTGCAATAATAGCAACTGACTTGGCTTTGTATTTCAAGTAAGTACTAAATTCTGTATAACTTCCTCCTGAAAAAAATCAGTCCTATTGAATGTGTAACTGTAGTTTTTAGTTGTTTATTTACAGCATACAATGATATTTATATGCAGAGAACAGAGCTCTATTTAACGTTTTCATTGAGTCTAACTCTTGCAAAAACCAAGACATTCTCAGTTGGATTATAAGCTTTCAAATTAGAGAATGCATGAATCTACATAATACTTAGTAGATAATACATTTAGTAGGTCATTCTAACATACTTTTAGTTATAGCAAGCACTGTATTACAGAAGTGTGCATTCAATAGCCTAATTGTAAGGTTGTGTGCATGTGCGACATTAAACATACCATACAACAGATACTCAGAGTAAGCAGGAGCATGCTGAAAATTAAAACATCCTGTCAGACATCCACTGTTCCCAGTGCTAAATATGCCAAAGACTCCAAATTTCAAACTATCAATTCTGTTCTTAAGTTAGTGAATTAGTGTGCTTTAATAATGGGTATCTTCCTTAAAGATATGCGGAGACTTTTGTTTTATGACTGGGACAATTTAAAGTCAGAAGACAGGTAAAAATTCAGGAAATTGTTTAAGAGCAGTTATTAAGATTTAGAGAAGAGTAAGTTCATTATTTCATTCATTCAAAGCACAAACTAGAAGATTTATGAAGCGGTAGCAAGACAGGCTTATGTTTTTGATAGTTCTTTTCAGTCCAGTCTTAGTAACTCAGGATTTTTGGTAGGAGGGAGTGACAGAGCATGTTTTAGTATTTGCTTCACTTTTCCCAGTTTAGTATGTTACAGGAAGTAATGAACATGTAATGCTAAAAAATGAGAATGTCACCCCAAAGAGTTTAATCTGAAGAGGTAGGAAATCAGTTGTTTCTTTGTCAGGAACTCTGACATACTATTTCACATGCCAGGGGTATGTAAAAAAATCAAAGTGGCTGGGTTACCTAAAAAGTTTCCATTCAACAGCAGGGAAGTATTACTTTGATACTACTATGACTAGGATGGTACTTGGAAAAAGCAAAAATATCATAAATATGATTTTATATTTTATTTTTAATGCGGGAACTCACATTCAGTAATATATGCTTCATTGGTTTGTTTTAACAGGAAAAGAACTATGTTTCAAAAGATTGTGGATGCAATTGAAAAAATGGAAACAGAAGAGCAGGCAATTAAGTATATATCTATTGACCCAACGAAAAAAGAAGTCATCATGTAGGTGGTTAATATTTTACTCCTTATTCAATCAATTATCTAGGACTAGATTTTAAAAGAATTTGGGCCTCTAAACATGCAAATTTAGACTTAGTTGTTGTCCAATGATGAGCACAACCATGATTTTAATTTAGAGACTCATGCCTAAAATCTTCTTAAAATGTGCAAAACATTAATTCATTTGGCATCTTAAATTCCTAAACACCTAGAACACCTAGACCTTTTTTTTTTTTTTTTTAATAATCATCCTAGCACTGGATAGTTAGGGTTGGTAGGGACCTCTGGAGATCATCCTGTCCAACTCCTCTCCCAAGGCAGGGTGACCCAGAGCACATTACACAGGAACTGGTCCAGGCAGGTTTTGAGTGTCTCCAGACAGACTCCACAACATCCCTGGGTAGCCTTGTTCCAGTGCTCTTCTACCCTTAGTGACTATTTGTTCTTACTCACATGGAGGTGAAACTTCTTGTGGTTTAGTTTATTGCCATTGCTCCTCACCTTGTTATTGGGCAGCACTGAAGAGTCTAGTACCATCTTCCTGACACCCAAAACTATACTGTTGGTTTGGATTTTGTTTTCAAAGGGCTATGATGATGACTGGATGTGACCTGTCTGCAATAACCAAGCCCTGGGAAGTACAGAGTAAGGTAGGTACTTTTGAAGTAGACAATACTGCATTTACTCTTTGTTTTATTATCCATTTGGTGCATGATCAATTAAAAAAATTAACTTATTATTACTTGATGCATATTTAAGTACCTGTTGCTTCCAGAAAAGAACCTCTACCTTTCTGTCACTGTGAGTGTAGGTGGTCAATCACTCTGCAGTTGTCAGCCCTTCTCTACTTGTCCTTCCACTAGAACTGGCACCGCTGATTCTGGCAGCTGTTCTAGCTGCCCTTAAATATCACTCAATTATTTCTTTGCTAGACAACTTTTGCTACTTTCCAGCTATTTTTAAGGCACAGATTTAACAACAGTATGGTTTGAATTGTGTCTGTTCTGTAGATCTTGGTGCCATTGCAAAGCAGCTTAAACACACAAAAATTCTGTAACACAGAGTGGTAAATAAGTACTTCAAGTACTCCAGTATTATTGACCATCCTGCTAAAGCTCATCACTTAGCCTTACAAGAATATGTTTTAACAAAGCATAATCAAAATACAACTGCAAATACTTGTTCTTTTAAGTTTTACACATTACAGGTATTACAAGACTTATGTTGCTAATGTTGCCTTGTTTCTGTTGGCAATAACCCGTTATTTACTCAGCATGCATCAAAATATTGCTAGTGATAATTTTCTGGGAAAAACCTTAAGTACAGCAGACAGTGTCTGTAGGTCTTTTCACATTTTATGGAAAGCCTTGTTCTATTTATTTAAATTTACTATTTTCTGCTCACAATTTCATTGAATTGTACCTCTTCAGGTTGCCCTCATGGTCGCAAATGAATTCTGGGAGCAAGGCGACCTGGAACGAACTGTGCTACAGCAACAGCCTATTGTAAGTACTAAATAATTTCACTGTGTTAAGCAATATTAACTATTATGACAACACTGAAGAAATAATGAACCATGATGCTTATGAGATCACTATACCAAAAAGCATGATATCTACATATTCTAAATTACTGCTCTTTTGTTCTAGCCTATGATGGACAGAAACAAAGGAGATGAACTACCTAAGCTCCAAGTTGGTTTCATAGACTTTGTGTGTACATTCGTGTACAAGGTAAGAATTTTGTTTTGTTTTCCTGTTCCAGCAGTTCTGATGGCACAATTAGTGACAAGAAATTGCAGTAAAAAATTCTAGACAGCAGCAGTACTCTTGGTCACAGGCTGCACCCCTATCACAACCACCATAATTTTTCAGTATTTTGTTACATCAAAGAATTGTTCCCATAGAATGAATTCAAGAGATGTGAAGCAAATTCAAAAAAGATGAAGACCCCAGTGAAAGTTCAGGGTGCTGAGGATTTGTTATTGCCTGGAAAGACTGAGTTACAATGTCCAGCTTGATTCTTCCTAGTCCCATTTAATATAAGCAAGCAACGTGGATAGTTACAGAAAGCAGTTAATAAAACAGCATAGGGAATATGAATATGCAATATTTGGGGCATGTAGATATGCTGTTTCTTTTGTAAGGCACTGAAATTACTACATTCTTTATCCCTGTCTAGTTTTTAATATTATTCAAAAATGCCAGGCAAAAATGTGATGTGATTTTTTTGACATCTTCAGAAATATCCTCATCTGCTTGGAATATATTACAGGATAACAGACTTTTTAATTGTATCCTGATACTGATAATCATATGATAAAATACCGTGTATCACAGTTGTATTATATGAGTCAGGCTAATCATATGTGGGATTAAGGAAGATATTAAAATGAGCAACATATAATTACAATATTTTCCTAACAGACTGTGTGCACAATAGGGCATTATAATCCAAACACAGTATTTCCAACACTATGCCTTGGAATTAGATGTAATAGAATAATGAAATGCTTTCTCAACAGTATTTCTACAATTTCAGATGTAACAATTAATCAGTGCTTACAAATTTCTAATTTACTAATTTCAATTGCTTGTACAGGAATTCTCAAGGTTTCACAAGGAAATTACACCTATGTTTGATGGTCTTCAAAACAACAGGGTTGAATGGAAAACACGAGCCGATGAATATGAAGAGAAGATGAAAGCTATTGAGGAACAAAAGAAAAAGGAAGAAGAAGCAGCTGCCCAAAAAGGTTAAGTAACTTCTTAGGTTTCCATTTACATATATTTTTATGGCAGCCAACATATTCTCTCTCTCTCTCAAATTCACACATGCAGTGCAGTTGTGCAATATTTAACTTTATGCTAATGGTATGCAAGTTCTGAATTAGCCAAATTAGGTTTATCTTTACTTGAAAGAGAAGTAACCTTTAAAGACTACACAAATCCAGTACACTGACCTCATTTTCTCAACTGCAGAATTATATAATATGACCACCACAAAAGTGAAGGGAATGTAACATTTCTTCTATCTAAAGACTTGGAACTGAATGTAATTAAACCCTTGCTTATCTGAAATACAAGACATGTATCAAAATTCTGCGTGGCATCAGCCCCAAATGTATTCAGGTGCTTTGTTTTCAGTTGAAAATGAAAAACATAAGGGAACAGAGTATGCATTTGGAACATAAAAAAACAGTGACAATCCCCACTTCTCTTCCAAGTTTAAGATAAAGCTTTTGGCTCTAGCTCCCTACCACCAGTTTCTTGGCTGAAATACACTCTCTCATATAACAAATTCAACATTAACCTTCCAAAGACAGAACAAGTCCTAAAATTGGAAGCATGGTTCTGCATAGCATAACCTAGAAGAAAATCTGATTTTATAGAAACTTGAAACCTGTCATTCACTTGAGTGAAATGAGTCAGTTACTTTTATTCTTTGTATTGCGTGTGGAGCAGCAGCTACAGCTCTGCCAATTGATTGAGATGACTGAAGAGGTTCAAAGATAAAAAAAACCCATGTGTGATTAAAAAAGTGATATATGGTCAGCTAGTCTGAAGAAGAAAAGTTAGTTTACTCTGTGTTTCACACATCTTTAAAATATAAACCAGTTCTGAATAATTTGTTAATCAGTATCTGTGGCAAATAGGTGAGTATTTTTCCCATTTCACAAAACAGAAGCTGTCCAAGGCCACCCATCAAGTCACTGTCAGAGTGTGAAATAGTTATAGGCTCCTGTAAAATTGATACTAGGTTACAATAAAAGTAAATATAAAAAAAAAGAAAAAAAAAAGTTGTTGCAAAGTGGTATAAGAAGTCCTGTAAGTTACATGATTTAATCAAAGCACATTTTTGAAAGAGTTTAATAGAATGAGTCAAATATTTTGATCTGCTCACAGTGTGAACTACTTACACATATTTTCACAAAAATTCCACCCTCCTACTTGCTCCCAAGTTTATTTTCAATTACGCTTTCATTTTTTTGAAATCATATAACTTTATTTAAGATTCATTTATTGCTGAGAACTAGCTGGTTGTCAGTATGAAAAAAGTACTTTTTCCTTACACTGGAACATAACCATCTGATCTTTACAGAAATACCAGCAAAACAAAACAAAACCTGGGACCTCCTTACACAACTTCAAACCTTCTTATACATTTGCTTTCTCAGCAAAGAATACTACCAAAAAAAGTTACCAAAGTTAGATCCAATGCTCCTAAGTATAAGCTTCTTAAATAGAAATTAAATAATCAATTTAGGAAGAGTCAGTTATTTCTACTCTCACTTGGAAGTTAGGACCATCCTATATCATTGGTATTTGGAATCACTTAAGTGTTTTCCTTATAGGAAAATAGGAAACCTTACACAGGCAGGCATGGACAGACTGATGTGCAGAATCTGCCCTTTGCATATCATAATTGGCAACACAAAACAAAAGGGAATTATTCTGAATCCTTTAAAAACACACGCTGCAATGAGGCCATGGGCATTTGTGAAGAACAGATCTGACCCTGTCAAATCAAGGCCATGTAAATATATGGGTTTGTTAAGTCAGTTCATACAAACAAAGATTTGATACATGCTGAACCATGGTGGTTTCTCTAGAGCACACTGACCTGGCTATTCTTAGCCATTCAGTAGACACAAAATAAACATGTTTGCTGAACCACTACAGTGGAAAGTTCAGAACTGAAGTAAAGAAAAATACAGTATTAAACTGAGAAAATCAAATACATAGTTAGTAACATAGTGTTGATTATATCCACAAATTACAGAGGGTAGGACACTGATCATGTGACATGTTTCAATGCAGGTGGAAAGGGTCGAAAATGACCTAGTAACATGGTGATCCACAGCTTTCAAATGTAAGTTTTAATTCTAATATTGGTATCTTACCTTAAGTGAATCTGGAAATGCAGTTTATTACATGGAAGAATCTTACTTATGACCAATGAACATCTGTGGCATCATTTGAGAGAGAGTAACAGAATCAGTAGCTATAAATAAAAACATGAGACGTCTCTCTCTCTTAATTAGTATTTACAAAAGGATTCATGCAGGGTTGGAAAAAGGTTTATGCAGTTAGGTCAAATTAAAGTTTTTGTATCATCTGCTTCAAAAATAGATTCACAGCTTATATTGATTCAAGAGTTTCTTTCTTTGGCATGGCTTGCATACCTCAGTTTTGTATGTGTGGGACAGTCATGTATTTTAAATACTGAAACTTTCCAGTAAGAGTGGTTCAGTGTGTGTTTGGTCCCTTGAGAAATGTTGGTATCAACTCCTACACTATATACACATATGTATTTATAACGTGTCATTGTTTCTTATCCCAATATCCCAGACAAGCAGTGAAATTTCAGACAGCCAAACATACATAATATGCATAAAATAAAAGCAGCACTCCATAATAAGGAATTAGAGCAGCTAAAATTAACAGAAAATACTCATTTTACTTTCCTTCCTTGTTTTTTAACAGAAAGTGCTGCTGGAGGTGGTGGAGGTGGTGGTGAAGAAGGAAAATCCAAAACCTGTGTAGTTTTGTAATTCTTTGTCTCAGACACTGTTCCTGCTACAAGAAACGACATCTAGAAAGAACTTCAATGAGCCCCAGTGGATTTCTGCTTTGCATAGAATAGTATAGATCAGTCTTTTAATCCTCTTAAACACTTGCCATTTGTTGGAAATAATTTTTAATGGATTTAAAAACCAGTTACAATTAAAAACTGGAAAAAATAATGGTGCAAAATGAGTTAACTGTGTGCTCTAGGTATTTTTTCATGTCACTCAATTTACATACAGTACTTTTATTAAAATATGTAACTTCTACACACTGTCCAGAAAAAATATAAATAATTTTGACAGTTGTTATATGAAATTACTAAATGAAACTTAAGATGTAAAATTCAACCCAAAAATTGCAATATTTGTAACTTTGATATTTAGATTTTTATATTATGTGTATTTCCTTAATCTGTAATTCTGACATTTTCCTTCATTCTCAGTCCTATATAAAGTCCCATTTCTTTCACTTTAGAAATGCAAAACACAACTCCCTAGCTCTTATCTATAAAAAGCAGGCCCATGGTACACTGAATTTTTTTCCAAAATTACCAATGATAAATCTGTAAATTATAGACATTGTAGCCTTTTGATCGTATGCAAATGGCTCTCCCACAGTTCCTAAACTGAGCAGCTTTTATTGTAAAACTGTAAAATAGCAGACCACAAACATCATACTTTACACACAAGTAAAAGTTTACTAAGATACACCAGCATATCTACAGCAGGATCTGCCTTCAAGGGCATTTTAAAAGCTCACATAATCCCAGTGCATCTCTTTCAAAATGCAATAAATTAAAGTATTTGAAAACCAATTAATTGGCATCAATTTAATCTTCTGAGGGAGAGCACAGCAGAAGTATAGCACATCAAAATTGCCATTACCTGTGTTTCTACAAGATAACAAGAAACCAAGTAGACAGAGTGCACACAAATTAGCTCTTCATGAACACTGACCTTCCCCCCCAAGCCTTTGGACCAAGTCCACTCCGTACCTTCCACTCAGGAAGCCAGCTCCTCCATGGAGGAGGGCAAATGGCCACCATGTTAGACACACACCTGAGTATTCACTGCAACCAGTTTCAAATCTAAGGAGATGGATGTCAAATGCAACTCCTGCATTAGAGAAATTCAACATTCAGACTCAATCCTGCCACTTTTCCTGCTCCTTTGAACAAAGCAGACCCACGCTTTTTCTTTCCTCTGGAGGACCCCCATATCCATACGGAAGGAGAATGAGCAATTTGCTCTTTATAAACCTTTCTAAGAATGCTCTGTGAACAGAGCATTCTGTGTACATTTATCACTCAAAATTAAAGGAATCCACAAAAAACCTCCAAACACTTACAACATTCTGACTTGTAAATGAACCAAGTATTTTATGCAAACAGTTATGACATAAAACTGGGTATCACGTTAGTTTCTGTATTAAATGCCGCTGCTAAAGAAAACCATTTCAAGGTTGTCTGAAAATGTAATTTTGTTTAAACTGTATTAAATTATGTATTTAATATGTATAGTGTAACTTTTTATAACTGTATGTTAAAGACCCAAAGAGAAGCTAGTTATTCAGAACCTATAATTAATATACAATACTTGAAGCAACAAATATAGCAACGCAGTCGACAAAAGCCCCTTGGGGCAAGTTGCACACGTTTAAGCAGATTGCTGCAGATTGGATTTGACTCTCAGCCAAGCTTGCAAGATGACAGAGAATTAACCTTTAAATCCCCCTTCTTACCTAAAGAAGCCTTCATGCAAGGATACGTTTATTTCTTACTCAAGGACGCCCTAAATATGTCCTTGTACATCTATTATGTAAGTACAAAATGTTTAAAATGTAATTATAGTAAGTAATACTTGTAAATAGAGTTCTTAACTTATTCATATGAGTGCATGTGATATGTTCATAAATACACTACAACCATCTCTGCTGTTTTGGTGTCCACATCAAATTCTTACTAGAAATACTTTCTACACCTACAGTGAGAAGTACTTATCAAAAATATATTTTATACAACATTAACTTACTCAGATTAACATGAAAACCTAATTTTAAAAAGTGTGACCCTCACATACAAAGTAATTTTCACCAGACAGAAAAAATATTGGCATAGTACTTTTTCCTGTGCAGTCTGTTTCTTTGGAAACATGACTGAATGAATGTTTAAAGATGTGCTGCAGCTCAAAGAAGAAGATGAATCCAGTACGTTTCTCAAGCAATATTCGTGCTTTATTTGTATATTCAGGATTACACGTGAAAGAAGGATTAACGTTCAGTCAATGAGAAGGAGATCAGAAGCCACAGGTAACATGAAAGTCACGTACATCTCCAGTAGAAAGCTACATGTTATTTTTTACACCAAAAATTTCACCAACCAAACATATTTTTATAGGTGGAATTGTAAGACACATCACATTACAACTAAAATTTAAAAGAAAGTCACAATAAACTGAACTTTTTAAAGGAGTAGGGAGATAGAATACATATTTGACAAAATGTGATGTTCTCCAATAGCATTTGAAAATATTTACAGAGATTAATACCCAAATATTAAAATCTAAATAGCTAATAAATTTAGGGCTATTAATTTCTGTTTAATAAATTAAAAATATAAATAAAGTGTATGGCTTTAAACTACTCACACAATCTTACAAAATGCTCCTTTACAAAAATCTGGCAATAACTGAAGTTGGAGATCAAATAAAAAGCAGTGAACTTCCTTGTTGTAATGTTAATAAACTATATTCTTGTTTGTATAAGTTTGGGTGCCATATATATTTTGCTCTGAACTGAAAAGCTATTTCTCTTGTTTCAAGAGTACGCAGCCTACTACAAGAAACAAAGTTTTTAGATTTAAATCCTTCTACAAAGAAAATCCACCCAAATGGTCCATATGAGTGACTGTAGAAAAGGTATGCTGGCAGATAGGGGTCTCTGGAAAATTATAACTGGATTTCCAGACTTCCATCTTGACAACTCATGAAGAAAATCAGTCAACATCAATTGCTAGTTTTAGAGAAATAAATCTTGAAAATACTCATGAAACTCCTCTTCCCTGTAACAACAACAAAAAATAAATGTCAGAAAGTTCTGCTTTGGATTTGTACCTAGGAGATAATCTTTGAATAAAAAAGTTTTAGCAAACTTCTGATTAGAATTGTGGAAAGTATAGATATTTTTGACTAACTCACTACATTCCAATACCCTTCACATTTCCCTGTGTGAGCTGACCCTTAGGACCTGCCACTAAGATAATAATGCTATAGAGGGGGTAAGGCAGCAGTCCTATGGCAGTGGCTTAACAAAGGTTTTCCTCAAGAGTTGTGAATGTCCCCTCTTTAAATACACATTTTTAGGTTCATTGCATGGAAAAAGATTTGACATAACCTTTTATGTGTGAATACTCACTGAAACACTGGACAATTCTGTCTTGCAATTCTGAATGGACCCTGTACATTTCAGTAGCTGCAAGCTCACTACATCAAACTAACCGTGATTTTTCATCTGCTTCTCGCAGAGGACCTCTCAAAGAGTCAGCTTCTGAAGGACCATCTTCAGCATTGCTGTCATCTGAATCTGTTAAAAAATTTAAAATGTTTACAAAATTAAATTTAAAATAATCTTTTTTTAAATTAGATGGTATAATGCCAGAAGCAATGTTTAATTGCAACCAAGAGAATAAACAGAACACTTTGCATAAAGTGAAAATGAAAATGTTTTGCAATGCTAATTAGTGTAATCAAAAAGATTCTTAGGTATCACAAAGCAATGTCTTGGTCAAACATAACAACAGCCATGTCAAAAAAATGATCTTGACACAACAGCAACATAGCATTTTTTTTTCCTAAAACTAAATAATTACAAACCCAGATATACAATATAGTTTCAATTTATGATACTAGCTTAATCAATTACCTTACTTAAATGATAGTTCTTATCAATTGTGACTTATCAGTAAATGAAATTATAAGAAAACACAGATTATTGCATAACTATTTCATATTAGCATACAGGAATTTCATATAAGAAACTCCACACCCCTCCCCCCCCCCGGCCCTCTGAATCTTCCAACAAGTTTCCTGACAAAACAAGTACTTTGGGCACGGCCCAAATCATAAGAAAAGTGCTTCAGGTCTTCCTGTATCTAACTGGGAAAGCCTAGGGGATGAGGACATGCTTAAAAATGTATAGCAGAGCAGTGAAAACAGTCAATTACTTCCAGACAGTCTGCAACAAGAACTGGCATGACCAGGAGATGGGGCCTGTTTCACAAAAAAAGAAACTGGAGACTGGACTCACTGAGATACAAGCAGTGACTAAATGCATCCACCTGCAATAAGTAGGTCTCTGAGGTACTACAGGTGGTAGTTGGAAAAGACATTAATTAAAGCCTAGGATTTATTTTAATTTTTTTTTTTTTTGAGCAGAGGACATATCAGTTTAACTCCCTGAAGGAAAATTATATCAGAAAAATATTATCTTTACACAGTACAGACTACACAACATGAAATTATTAACAATGGACCTATTTTTGCACCCTCTACTTTTTTTGCAACAACCTGAGTTCCCATTTTTTGGGTTATTTTCTTTCTGTTATCTGCCCACATTTTTATTTTTTGATTAAACAATTTCCTCCTTAAAATTCCCTACACTTTTTCTCCAAGATATGTAAGTCATTCATTCAAACCTTCATATTTCTGCTTGTTTCAGACAGCATTCTTATCATATAAAATATTGAAACAGACAGCTAATAAAACATAGATCAAAGACAACTGTCTATGATATTATACAACTTATTACAAAACCATAAAGGATACTAAAATACCTTTATCAGAATTATCTGAATCGTCTGAAGAAACCTGATCTGTAAAGAAACACCAAAATAGAAAAAAACCAGTAAACTGCTTTTGATTTTATCTGTTATCTTATATTGTCTTCAAAGATTTTTCTATCACAATTTATTACACTTAAGATCTGTACA